TGGCAGCATGCTGCTCGGCTGACTCAGAGAGCGTCCAAGTGGGGCAACAGCGCCAAGCTTAACTGTACATGTACCACAATTCTAACAATTTTAACAAAAGTTAAATCTATGATGACAGTGTTCCTCACTGAAGTGGACTTTTCCCTCTAAAACTGGTATCAGTATTGGCATCAAAAATGCACAATTGGTGAGGCTCTAGTTTTGTGAAAGTTTGTGCATGCATATGCCTAAATGTCCTCTAATCCCGGGTTACATCGCACAATTTAAGATTTTTTTTCACTCTGACAAAGCAACAAATTGACACTCACTCCTGTAGGCGATGATGGTAATGTCTGAGCTTCAAAGAAGTTTTGCAGAATCCTGAAAGCTACTAGATGTTATAATAAATGTTTCTTACTTTTTCATTTCTCCCCAGTTATCAACGTTAATCAGATAATTAGTAATCATCACTGGAAGATAAAGTGTGTTGCAATATCTAAATGTGTTCTCTCCAGTCTTCTTAAAAGACAAGAACATTTTTTTTTTTAGATCTTCCCATCATGCAAACCGGCGCACTTGAACTGCTCTTTTGTGTTTTCTTCTTTTACAGCTGTGCATTAAGCATGAAGTCAGATTTTCAGTATGGCTGCACTGGTTTTGAGAATGTAGAATTACAACATTTTACCATTACAGCATGGATCCAGAGGCCTCCATTCTAGGTCTTGCAGTGACTCTTTACTAGCTGTCTTTAAAATGATTAGATAACATGACAGTGAAGGAGAGCTTGGGTGCACACAGCCAACTGAGTTTTCGTATCACTCACTTCTCTGTCATTCTTTATGTGCACTTACATAGATCATATGTTCAACCTTTAACCCCGGAAATACTTCATGGCTGACGTCAGTTGCTATGGGTTTGTCAAAGTCACAACAGCAAACGTTTCTTGTAAAAACCTCTCATCTCTCAGGGTTGATCATGTGCTTTAAACAGTGGAGCTTTTGTCTTTGGTGCAACAAAGTTTCAGGCATGTTGGAGCTGGTTTGGGCTGCTTTTTTCCCAGAGAGCTGGAGGGACAAAATTCATGCAAACTGTAACTTTAATTTAAAATGACTTCCTGTAGGTCCAGATACAGAGGTATGAATTATAGGGCTGTCACTGTTTGGATGATGACACTGGGCTCTGAGCCACATTGAGTGTGCAGACATTCTAAGAGGAGAGTAAAGGTCGTGTCGGAGTCAAAGGCTACAGAGTGCATCGGTCACTTTTTCCTTCACAACAGTCTTTAATGACCTCCAAGTTTCTGTCCAACCCTTTCAAACATGCCTGCACTGTTTGAAGCATTTGCCTGAAGTGTTTTCTTTCCCACATTCATTTCCCACTTTCACCTCTGGGTTGTGGGCAAACCCTTCGTAAAAAAAAAAGCATCAGCAGGTTTTATATTACACTGAGGTCTTTCCAAACTTTGTGAAAGTTTATAACTCATGCAACAAAAAAACGAAAACTTTTTTTTAAATTATATTTTTTATCCGCAATACCATGTTACAACAAGAGAGTATTTTAAGCTGAATTCATACATGAAAGAGGCCACAGGATATAACTGTGTTTAATGTTTTCCAGTATGAAAACTCTTTAAGGCACCATCTCTTAAACATTTGTGCTCAGATTCTGTAGACAACAATTGTCTCAGACTGTTAGCAGAACAATAAAGTTAATGATGATCGTCTGCACTAAAACTGGCAGACGAAAGGCCGCTGCACAATGTGAGAAAATATGCACTGTGTGATGAATTAACAAATATTAAAGAGTGCATATCAGCTTTAAACTCAGCATGCTTTTAGGTCTATCTGCTGTTCTACATGTTTTACACAATACCCTGCTTTGTCTGCATCATGCTCCTGGTTCCAATAAATCAAAAAGCTTTTGTTTCTCACCACTAAATTATCACAGTGCAGCTGATACACACATCAAACTGGTGTAAAAGCATGGACATTATACTCAGGCTTTCAAATGTGCACATGCCTCATGAGAAAGCCTTGATTCTTTACCTCAAATAATTCAGACCTTAGTGATGTGTTTATTGCAAATGTCCAAATCCCAAAAGGAATGAAATTGCAATTTCATTGACGTCCCTACCAGACAATGTTTCATACTGTTATAATATCCTCTAATTAAGTTAGTTGTTTAAAACTGTCTGAGGCGTCTGCAGAGCCTTATCAGTGAAAAATATGTGCACTGTCAACATTATCAACGGTCTGCTTTAATGACGAAATTCCTCAGTGGCCAAAACTTTCAACATTAGTACCAGTCTAAAATGTATGATGCTTTTGAGATCTTTGATCATAAAGACACGAAGTAGTTTAAGATCTTCTGTGTACTCGTCTTTCTCGTCGTGACACTAACATATTGTGGGATCCTGCAAAGTGAGAACGTAACACACAGCCTGTCACTGTAGGGCACATCATCCTTCAAATGTCACAGCGGAGCCAAACAGTGACAGTCGAGGCTTAAAAAAATCCAACGTCAGACTATAAATCTGTCCGCATGCTTGAGTAATCTACAAGAACACTTGATGCATCAGAGATAATCCAGGTCAAGAACAGAGGATGCTGCTGCCTGTTACTCTCTTCATCTACATGTTTCAGCACGAGTCTTGTGGTCTCGTGTTGTTTTCATTCCAGTATTTCCACTTGATTGACTTAAAAAAAAAACAAGTTCCTGCATGTTCCTTTGAGGATGTTGAGAAGCATTTCAGGAAACAAATCTGAAATCTAGATACCAACGTTTTGCAGCTTTCTCTCAGAGTGTTTTGACGTTCTGTTAAATCACCTGTTGCTGCTAGTTTGCTTCAACAATCAAATTTACTTTAGAATATTTTAAACATAACAAAACGATGTAAAAGGATATGCTTAGAACTGTGATATAATCTTCACATCATATTTAGGTCATGCTAAAATCATTATGTGGTTTTAAGAGCTGCGACAACACGTGTTGTGTGCCATCACATAACTAACCTGTTCCGTTGAGCTGAAAAAGGTGAGGCTCTGTGAATTCATTGCAGAGCTCGGCCTGCACAAAGAATGTAAATATCCACACACGAGTCCTCAGGATCCACTGTGAGGAGTAATCCAATGTCCACACACTGTACTTTAGGTTATTCAACATGGCTTCACAGAGTTAAGACCTGAGTCTGTCTCCTGTTGATTTTAGCAAAATCAGCAAAATAAGAATGTATCTAAAAGTTGAATGAATGTGATTCTCCAAATGTAAACACAGAGCTGTGATAAGATAAACTACTTTTCCAGTGACTAGTGCAGAGGTGTGTGGTGTTAACTTGTAGACACACTGAGGTTGATTGAATCATGTTTTGCTTCTCAATGTTAGTCAGAGTTTTCTCCCCCATCAGGGATCAACTGCAGAGCCTGACCCCACATTTGTTAATGCTGCAAAACAGCAATTCATGTTTTCATTGTCTCTCTGCCAGTTCCCCTGGAAAACTAATGCAGCGCTACCCCCTTGTGGAAGAAACACTACATTACACAGAGTCATGTCCAAGTCATTTAACTCTGGGAAACAACTTTAACACGCATGGGAAACACCTCCAGGCTGCAGGCATTAATGTTTTCTTTGTTTGTGAAGAAAGCAGGTAGCCCAGCTCAGACACTTGAGGGTTAAAATTGGGGAGCTAGGGGCAACATACTCACCATCAACCAACTTGTTGACATATTTCTGTTATTGCTGGAGGAAAAAAATCCCCATGATGAGTTGAAGGCTTGGATCAATGTGCTGTCTTATTAAACCAAAAGTGAACTCTGCAATGGAAATGGTCCACTGTGCCTACATTGATATTTGTTATTTTGGTGTCATATATTGGAATCTCTTCTTCAAATTTCTCAAATCTGTTTAACCTTCGCTAAAAGTTGGATTCTAGACCCTGTTGGAGGTGACAGTGGTGAAGAGGAATGGAGGCTGTGATGTGGAGTGGGTTTTCTGAGACTGTTTCTGAACTCTGCTGAGCTGGAATGGAAGTGACCAGGGTCGCAGCGATCGCACAGAAATGACAAACTGACTGTGGAAGAGTAAACGCACCAAATCAGCTGATCCCCAGAGCGGGGAGATGGTGGATGTAGTAGAGAGGGAGTGGCTAAGTAAGATGAAGGAATGTAATAAATGTGTGAGAGAATATAACCAGTCTTCCTGCTTGAACTTACGCTGAGCTCCATGTAAATTAGAAAACATCCCAAAACATTTGATAAAGTTAAACTGAATACTGTGTTTGGGACCCTCGGCACCTTTATATTGCTATGGTTGTGAGCTTTGTACATGAACCTGTTAGTGTGTTTTTAAAGTCACAGTACAAACTCGCTGATATGATCTGTTACTCAGTCAATGTGTTTGACTGCTCACCGCTCTGGTTCCAGACAGGGTGTGTGATTTGTTTTACACACTTCATCTACAGAGGAGCTGCTCCTCTAGAAATAGCCTCACCTGCTCATGCCTCACATGTGTTCCACAATCCACGCCAGCGCTCTAATTGCTCAGCGTGAGCGGGTTTTGAAGCTGGGGAGTGGATGTTGTCTTTTCAAGTGTCACATTGTCTGTCTCTCCTCTCTGTGTGTGTTTTTCCAACTCCATGCAAAAGGCAGAATAGAAATCGTCCCTGCGGTTCAGAACAATTTAATGTTCACCTGAGAACACAAACATGCTCTCACCGCAGACATGTGAACGTCACACACTAGAGTGTAGCAGGTTTTATTTCAATATCGCTCACAACTACCAGACCATATACTCCGCTGTAGAAATAATTTTCAATCTTTAATATGTAAAGAAATGAAAAAGCGTTGTGTTAGAAATCTCCTCATTTACAGTAAAGTTTCACAACAGAGACTTTTATGGATTCATATTCCAACACAGTAAAAACATAAACACTGCATATTGAGAGGAGAAACAAAGGCCATTGACATAACATCCTCTCTCTCTCCCCCTCTCTCTCTCTCTCCCTGTTTCCTGCCTCTCTCGACCAGGAGCTACGACCAGATCAGTATCTCCACAGAGTGCAGTTTCCGGACTGAATCGGACTGGGACCCTCACTCTGAGTCCACCTCCGTGATGAGCTTCGACATGAGTCAGCTGCAGGGCCCGCTTTCTCCCTCCAAGTTCTTAAAGGTTGGTTTTTTTATTACATCCTTTTCCTATTTTTCTCAACTTCAGGACAAAAACATAGAGGTTAGTGTGTGTGTGTGTTTATTTGAATGATACTGTGCAGAAGGACAGCATGTGCAGTGTAATACTTGTTTTTACAGCAAGTGTAAAGAATCACTTTTACATTTTAAAAATGGCTTTAGGCTCCATGAGCTTCATGTTGCAGTTATTCTATTTTAGTTGTTAAACCAAATGTTGTACTGTAGTTTTGTATCACACAATATAATTCACATTGACAGCCACATAGTTGGTCTAAGATCCCGACCCTTAAATTAGGAAAAAGATATAAACACAAACCAGGCTTAGATTGAAAGTACAATGTCAGCAAGAAATGCCAAAGAAATCAAAATAGAAAAAGCATTTCTGCATTTCTGCTGGTTCTTCCTTAAATATATGCAACGTCGTTATATGATTCAGGTCTGTTTGTTCACTTTAGTTTCATCTAAAACTCTTTATGCTGTTTTTTTTTCTTTATCAGAAACACTAGTTGTTGGTCAGGGGATACCAAGTTTAAAAGAAATACATCATAGGAGATGTTTGAGCTCCACTGATGTAGAGAACAGGTTCCCAACCGTTTTGGCTCCTTGCATTTAAGTAACGCTAACCCCCCCACACACACACACTTCAGCGCCCCACCTATATGTGGGTGCTGCTACAGTGTTAAATGCTCAGTGATGGCACAGACTGTCACCAGGGACAACATGTCAAAACTGTGCTTCCCCTTTAAGGAAATGTGCAGGTAATCCAATGGGATGTCATCGTCCCGGGGGTTATTTTTTCAGCAGACTCAAACCTGTCAAACCTGCTCTCTGAGATCTGTGTCAGTGGGAGACGTTAAGAGAAGTGAGGGTGGAGAAGTGTAGAACTACAAGAAAACATGTTTGATGTCTTTGAGTTTGTAGCTGGCAACAAAAACATCGGCCTGTTCTGATCACACCTGTCCCTGAAATGTAAATGAACTCAACAACATCTTCCCCTGTGTGAGCCGTTTTATTACTATTACCTGTCGCAATCAGAGAGAGAAGCAGAGCTTTGGCTGACAGATAAGGAAGTGGGTCTGGCTGATAAGGTATGGCTGGAATAATCTCCACCTACCTTCATTAATCAATGCTATGAGTAAACACAAGGGGAATGCTTGGCATAGTGTTAATAGAAGGAGGACAGGGAGCCGCTCAAGACTTCAAACATACACCTGACTCAAGATACTTAATCCATGGTGTTATATCTGATGATCTCTGCTTCAGCGCTTTGGATTTGTGAATGAGTCGGAGCGACTCTTAAGGTACTGTATGGCTTTTACTGTATTTTAAAGCAAAACTGATGTGGTGGAGGGAGGCGGTTCAGCTTGCCGGTTTCATACTGTTTAGACATGAACTGGAAAACCCGCCCTCAGACTGTCTTAACCAGCTGTTTGCTCAGTTTAATTATCTAAATGTTTGACAATACCGGAGTCGAAACTGGTTTTTATGTCCGAAAAGGGCCGGGTCAGGAAAGGTTTTTGGAAATATACAGATTTAAGTTAACAGAGAAGTTGATTGCACATGTATTCACCTACTGGATAATGGCACCTTCGGCCCTTTTCACTGTAGACCTTTTATCTAAATAATGTCCTAAATGAGATTAACTAATACAACGTGAGTTCTCCATAAATCAAGGCCCAGCAGATAATGATGTCCTATTGGTTTACCGCACTTCAGAACGAGGCAGGGTGGGGTTTCTCTCCAACATGTCGCTCCACACCCTTTCAGTATCACTGGATTCTTTTATGCTTGTTTTTGCCATGTGAACCATCTTTCACAATCCCCCTTTTTTTTACACTCTTTGCCTGTGATGCAAATGGCCATGCCCTCGAGTCAGACACTTTGTTCAGAGGTGGGACTTTTAACTGTGGACACACACACACACACACACACACAGAGCCAGGACTGCTTACCTGCATCTCCTTTCATAGTCCACTGAAGAACAAGGACTCTGGATTTTGTATTAAACTTTATGAGCACCTTTGTGACTGCTTTCAGACTTCTAAGGGGCCGTTTTTTAACGCCCGTCATCGGCTACTCTTTTGATCACAAGAACGAGAAATAATTTAACCATTTAGACTCCAGGAAGTGAAAATGGTATGTACCTGTTTAATCTCGCTGTGGTTCATGCTTCCTGTCCTAACATGTGCTCGTCTTACTGTTAGGTTTTGCAAGGTGTGTTTTTTGTTGGCATGGTGTGTTTTTCCCGCTCCGTTTAATCCTGTTAAAGAAGTGCAACGACGGAAATATGTTTTATAATAACTAACTTCACTGCTGTTTGGAAGTTGATGTTTGGCTCTGCTTGGATTCAAACGTGTCTTTTCGGCTTTAATCTGCTAATCTAATGTACAATTAGTATCTGTGATAATTGAAATGACCCTTGAGCTGAGTGTCATAGAAGTCATATGTTCATCTAGTTAGTCATTGGTAACCCTGACTGACTGATCGAGTGTACTTAATGAAGTGGGCAGTATGTAGGTTTATAGTAACAGACAACTCTGACTCCAATCCAAAGGAAGTCATTCCTGAAAGACATTAAGTTAAAGATAAGACACTACACGGTTTATATCTCACATAATTACTTGTTTTCTGTGCATTCGCCCTTTCTTTTCATCACTACTTCAATAAGTAATCAGTTATTTGAGACAACATGTTCATATTGAATTATTCATAAATCAACAAATGAATTGAAACTGAACATTTCTATTTAAGAAGAAGAAGAGGGAGCTATCCTTTCTTAACCAAACAACGGGGAAAATACTTTTTACACTTCATTATGAGGCGTGCTTCACACACACAGGCTGAAATATACACACACACACACAAACAGGATCGTATGGGCATGCACTAATGGAGAGATGTCAGAGAGAGAGAGGGGGGGGGGGGGGGGCTGCACACAGTGAGCACTCCTGAGCTGGTCAGGGTCTGTGCCTTGCTCAAGGGCACAGCGGCAGTGCTCAGGAATTGAAGTGGTCCCTCTGCGGCTACCTATTTTTGACACATTTTTAATAAATATGTTTTAGGTGAACAAGATTTCCTCACGTACCACTGCACCCGAGAGAGTTTTTCTTCCTAATACTCAAGGGACCCTGGGTCAAAACAGGAAGAAATGCAATTAAAAAAAAATAACTGTCGAGTATCCAATTTGACCAATGAGAATCGAGTATTCCAAAGTTGTGTGTAAAATACTGTTTATCAGGCGGCAAAGAAGGAGAATGATTACTTTAATACTGAATAAGTTAAAACTTTCTTAGCAGGGATAATGTCATCCTCTTTACACAAAACTTCTGTCAGAAACTGAAACAGTATTTTCTTCTTCTTCATACTTTTTAGGGCTGATAAGTTGCTTCAAAGATCGGCTTCCAATCTTTTAATAATAAGTAAATCTAAGGATTATGCCGAGTCTTACGTTTTAGTTTCCTTTTGATTTATTATTTCACAAAAGGGTATCTGGGATATTTTCAAATATATAGAAGAAACGTATAAATGACTTTACCCTGTCCAAATCAAAGTTGTTTACATGAGTTAAACATATCTGATAAAAAGAGACAATCACACTTAGTTATGTATTCTTTTCCGACTTAGCTTCCTAAATCATCTGGTCTCTGCCTCGTCTTTTCTCTTTCAGAACTCGGAGGAGAAGAAGGGCGTGATTGGTCGCATCAGCCACTTCTTCAGCTCCAAAAGGAAGAAGAGCGGCAGCAGGCAGCATTCAGGCGATCTGAGCACCCGACATCCCCGACATCCCCGACGTCCCCGTTATCTCCAAGTTCACCTCTGTCTGATCAGGAGGTCGGGCCAAGGACTCCAACTAATTCACGAAAAGACAGCGAGCTGACAGGACCTGATTATGCAGACATCACCAAAGCGGCAGATCTTGGGGACACCCTGAGCCTGAGCTCCAGTCCCAGCGGCTCGAGCATTGCTTCTCTGCTGGCAGACAGGAACAGCATTGGCCGCAGCAGTGTGAGAGAAGTGTATGTGCGCATGGTTAGCACAGGCAGCGACGAAAGGAATTCTGGGAATGCAACTCCCACCAATCTAGATTTTGCTGCGACTCAATTAGGGGACTCCGGCTCAGAAATCAGCTTCACAGACTCGGTGGTGGAGGAAGTGAGCAAGAGGCTGCGGGTCAGTTTGGAGGGAGATCTCCTGAAGCATACGGAGGATAATGCAGCTGACGAAACCACAATGTCGACACTTCAAAACCCCCTTTTAAAGCCAGTCGAAGCTTCAAAGTCACCTAACTTAACCTCTATTAGTTTAGCATCGAAGAGGTCTTCAGCAACAGTTGGAGAGAAGGGGCACAGCACTGCTTTGAGAGGGATAACTTTAGGCTCTCCGTCATCCACAGACAAGAGGAGGGGTCGGATCATCTCTTTGGAAACTGCAACAAAGATATTGAGCCCTTCACCTGAGAGTGAGCAAACGCCCCGAGGGGATTCTCCTGCCCAACTCCACAAAGCGATATGGGTGGAAACACACCTGGGACCGGAGGAGGAAGAGGAGAGGGAGGGGGAGGAAGAGAGGGATATAATGAAAGAAGAGGAGGAGGGCTTCAGAGCAGACTCGCCTCCCGTGCTGGCTATACCTGTCACGGTCATTCCTGAGGAGGATTTTGTTTTTCAGGAAACTGCCGACAGCCCTTCTACCCCCTCGGAGACTCGACGGTTCGCTGGTAGCCTGCCAGACTCAGACATCGCCTTGGCAGTGACTACAGAGGAGTCACAAACAAACTCAGAGCAGACAGAGGAGCTTGACGCTGGCACGCACCCAAAGCAAAGTTCACCTCAGGAGAGACGCAAATCGACAGAAATACGTGTGACACGCAAGACTGTGAATCTGCCTTCCAAAAACAAAGTTTATGCCCACATGGTGTACATTAGCCCCGAGCCAAGTTTGGACGGGAACGAACCGGCAGAAGAGGACAGCAGCAGCAGAGATTTATCTTCAAAGACTGCAAACACAACAGAGGAGAAACTGTGAGTATCTCTCTCCATTTGATTTTTCTGTGGTTACCACTCTGTAGTCTCTCTGATCCTGTGGGCAACAGAAAGCAGGAGAGCTAAAGACGGCTAATCCTGTGTGCAACCTGAGCTCTGAGTTCTCATGCGTCTTTGTACCAGAGGAGAACAATACAGGCTTAACCCGCACTGACGCACTGAAATATTCATATACAGCACATCTAATCATGTAAAAACAACATGTTATTCCTACAGTAGATAAAAGTCCTATCGGAAGAAACATGTGTTCATAATGAGGTTAAGATAATTTTATTTTTGTGACGTTTGGATTTGAATGAAGGGCTCCTCTGCTGTGTTTTCTCAAGGTGTACGTTCTCTACCTGAATGAGTTATTCATTACAAAACCTGACGAGCAACTGGCGTCTACAGTGTGTGTGCACTTTGTTTGATTTCAGTATGACATGTATACACATTAGACTGGTGCCTATAGAAAAAAAAGGCATGGCATACAATACATGCAGAAACTGCTACTGGAAGAAATGTGAGTGAACGGTGACCCTCCTGAAGTCGTATCGCATACGTTTCTGTGTAACTGCTGTGGATGGACATGCTAGAGGCAAGGCTTGGTTTGATTTATAGTTTCAAAACTACTTCAGGCGGATTCTTTCCATACCCTGAGTCCGGCCACAAAGTGTTTCACCCAAAGACTGTACATGAGGAGTGAACATGCATTCATTCTAATGGCTAACATGGACGACATAAAGCCTACATCTCTCTTGTTTTATTACCTCAGTCATGACGTTATGCTCTCAGTGACTTAGTTCAGCTCTTCTTGGTTACAGAATACATTTGGTTTTTTTTATATGTCACACATGGTCCGATTTAGAGTAAAATAGAAAATAAAGCCGGTTATGCGTTTAGGCATGGCAACCTGACACTGACAGCTACAGCAGCCTGTCAACCCAGATAGAGGCGAAGCAATGTGCATCTTCTTTTTTTAAAGCTGGCTTCATAAAACCAAGAAGGTGACGTTACTGTGTTTGCATTCACTTCTTACATACAGTCTGTGGTTTCAATGTTTGTCATCTGCTTCTGACACTTTGACATCACCCATTGTTTTTGCTAAGTTATTAAAGTTAAACAATCAATGCCCATGACAGATTCATCCTGGTATAATAAGCTGTAGTTATTGCTACAGAATGTTTATTAGTCTAAATAGCTAAGCGAATTTGTAGAACGTAGCTTCTCCTTGCTTGCTTGCAAACATGTCAGACGCTAGAACAAGTCTCAAGTGAACAACATGAACTGAGCCAGTGTTACATCAGAAAACTGCAGTTTTTTGTCTGTCTCTGGTGGTTTTATTTGTCAGCCTCAGAGGTTGCTGCTTGGTGTTCATGTGTGTTGCTTTAATTGAGTAACTGTAAACTATTTCTGTTAATGTTTCCCTCACTGTCTCCTTCTACAGACTGCCAAGCCTCCAAAACAACAATGATCTTCAGGAAGCAGAGCTGGGACCATTTCCAACAACAGATGAGACGACTCACTCTGACAGAAATACTCCTGAACCCTTAGTCGAAGAAAGAAAGGACTCTGAGGCCTCTGACTTGGATGAGGCCTCTTCATCCTCAGACATGTACAGAGCAAAGCTACAGGTGGTGGGGCCTGTGGTCGGAGGCCAAGGCACTGACCAGGCTTCACCCTCTAAACGAGGAGTTAAAGGAGCAGCAGAGAGTCGGCATACCACAGTAAGTGGAGCAAAGACCCCGTCCTCAGCAGCTGGCAGCAGGGCCAAGAATGTGACAACAAAGGCTAAGGCCTCCACGGAGAGCACAAAAGTGGGAACTTCCACTGATATGCTACCACAGAGGGAACAAAGCAATGAAAAAACTGCTTCTATGTTACCAACATTAAAAGAACAAAGCAGCAGTAGTACTTCAAGTGCAACAGGTTCAAAGTCTAAAATCCCAAAGAGGTCAACATCAGAGGCTGATGTGAAATCACCAGTGACACCAGATAAAGCATCAGTGGCAGAGGCCTCGGGGTCAGCAGTAACATCCAAACTGCAGAAACAACCCAGAAGCAAAGACGCTTTGAAATCCCCTGTCTCTCCAACCAAAACTGGCAGGAAACCAAGTTTTGAAGAAGCAAAGGGGGGGAAAGCTTCTCCAGGAGACATTTCTCCCGCAAAACTCAGGACAGGAACAAAGCTTCTTAAAGAGAAGGCAGATGAGGACAGCGACTCTGTAAACCTGGTAAATGGTGTGGTGAGAGACCACGAGGAGAGGAGAGTTAAAACACTATCCACGACTGACAGAGAAAGCCCGGACGTCAAAAAACGAGGGCAAAACCATCTGGAGAACAATGCCTCACCTAAGACTCGGTTACCGGTTTCGTCTCCAGCAAGAAGGAGGAATGCTAACATGACAATCGACACTAACTATAAAAAGACTACATCTGCTCAGACAGACTCAGAGAAGCAGAAGAAGCAGAGTCCAGAGCAGCAAGAAGTGGAGAGACCTGGGAGTGTATCTCCACCTCCGCTCCCTGAAAGTCCAAAGAGAGGTAAGAGACTTGAATCACAACATGGTGTTTTCTACACAGAAAAGAAAGAGAAACTGTAAGAAACAATAAATCATTTAGCCCTGTACACGTGTAAACATTATGAAGAAACATCTTGCTCCACATGTTCTCTCTCCACATTTCTTCCTCCTCTAACTCTATGTGTGTCAGAGCTGTTGTAAGAGGGCTGGACCCAGTGTGTGATGAAAGGAGGAGGGGGTGTAGATGTGAAGACCCAAAAAAGGATATATGTTTTTTTCAAGATTTATTTTTGGGCTTTTTGTCCTTTATTGTCGAGATAGGACAGTGGATAGAGTGGGAAATCAGGGAGCGAGAGAGAGAGTGGGGAATGACGTTGGTCGGATTTGAACCCGGCACTCCTGCTTTGAGGAATATAGCCTCTGTACATGGGGTGGTCACACTAACCACATCTCCACCAACTCTGTACAAAAAAAAGTATAACTGTTTGATTAAAATAGAAGGTGCGCCATGTACAGAGGACCTGGTCGCACAGGTTGCATTTTCGTCTTGCAGCTTGTCATCATTTAATGACCTGATCTGTCACCTGACATTTACCCTTTTTCTCAAGCTGCTCATCAAATAAAAGGCAAAAAGCTTAAAAATATACTTAAAAAAAGAAGGTGATTCTTCATGCAGAGAGGACTTTTAGTAGCTTCTCATGCTAATGTCATGTATTCTCTCTTGGAAAAGGGTCATTTGACAGTGGTTTAAAGAGTCAGAAAAGAACACTGTTTGACTGTAAAGACCCAAGTGAGCAAGTGAATGTAGGTTTCTGTGTTGTTCTGTGTCTGTTTTGCTCTAAAACAATTCAAGCACAGAGCACAGAGTTTGATAACTTAAACCAAGTAAGCTAAGTGTTTTCAGAAAGTCTTGAGGTATTCATGACATGTGGCATAACTAAGAAAGGGTTCAAACAAAAGAGGTTTAAGTGTAGAGTACACATAGCCTAAGTATCTTTGCTCTGCTAAGCTAAGCCAACTGGCTTTTGGCTCAAACCTCATTATCATCGTTTACTGTACAGAGTGGAAATGGTCAAAGCATAAAACGTGACAAGGAACTGTCTGGTTTTGGGGTTATTTTTGTTTTAAAATTGTATGTTTGTTCCAACAGGAAGCATGCTGTCACCAAGACCATCCAAAAACCTCTACAAAAGAAGAAACAGCACTGAAGAGAGACATTCACCCACACCTCGTGCGTCTCCTACATCTCGTGCCTCTCCCTCATTGCGTTCCTCTCCGACTCCCACCAAGCAAGAGAAAACTGCCTCATCAAGGCTCCCCAAACAAAGCGACAGCCCCAAACCCCCCAAGAGTCCAGGCAAGGATTCACTGGATCCCTTGTCACCTGTGAGCAAGCTTCCTACAAGAGGGCAGAGAAACTCCAACAAAGTCAAGTCCACAAAGCAATCAACTGAGAGTCCTGCGACCACACCCACATCCAAACAGAACTCAGGTCTGAACTCTCCCGCAGAGACGTCAGAGAGTGTCCTAGCCGATCAAGCAAACAATTCAATTGTGTCTACAGAGGAAGAAGAGGACACAAAGAAACTCACAGACAATCAATCCAGTGTCAGTAAAATCAAACAGAAAGGAAAAATGTTAGAGGAGTCAGAGGAGGACATAAGTAGTCCTTCACTTGAAGAGGTTTTAAAAATCCATCCCATAGATAACGATGATGTGGTTATCACAGGAAGATCTGAGGTAGAAATTACACCAGGACACAACGTATCCTCTGATAGTGAGGCTGTCAAAGGAAGCACAACAATGTCACCTGATTTAAATAATGCAAAGACAGGTAGCCAGAAAGAACAGGATGCAAACAAACAACAAACAAATGTTGTATCTCAGATCAAAAGCAATAACACCACAAAGAAACAAGAGACCGATTTTCCAACTAATACCTGCAAAGAGGAAGTAAAAGAAAAAGACATTACAGAGACAGCCCAGCTGATTGGTAACATAAAACCAGATGCAGTCCAGGTGAAAGGACTTGCAGAGCCAAATTCTGCAGAGTTGGCTCAGAACACAACACAAGCTCAGGAGGACGTAACTGATACGTCGGCCACACCTGTTGTTGATGACAGCATTCACTGTGACATAATGACTGATCAGGTGTGTGTTGAGCCTGGTAGCAAAGAAACAAATATGGCCACTTCTAACAAATGTGAAACCGGAGATAGTCACACTGCTAAGTTGGACTCAAAAGACCAAGATGCCGAGCAAAAAGACGTAAGTTCAACCTCGACCATCGCTGTTTCTGTTGATCCTAATCTGGAGAGTAAAGAGCAGCAAAAGGAGTTACTGAATGAAGCCACAGATCTTGTTCTTGATAATGAAAGAATGCCCACAGACAGCAGAGAAAATGTCAAAGATGTTAAGGTGGAGGAGAAAAGTAAAGAGGAGGTAGGCAGGAAACCAGTAGAGGCTTTGGACAATAAAACAGAAACTGGGGCTGCTTGTGAATCTCCCAAGAATGTTGAAAATCAGCCTGACAAAGAGCCTCTTTTAGTAGTTGGAAAAATTGAAAGAAAGGAGAAGGACTCCAAACCAAATGAAAGCCTGAATGAGGCAGCAGTGGAAAGCAATGAGTCACAGAACAGTTCCAAAAAGGAGCTCCAGGCCATAGCTAGCGAGGATAAAGCAGAGAAAGATATTACAGAACCAGTGAAACCAACACGTCTGTCATCCGAGGAGAAATGTGTACAGCCTGAATCAGAGAAGGAACCACAGTCAATCATTACAGATTCCTTGCGGGAGAATATGACAGAGGCAGCACAGGAAGGAAGTACAATGCAAGATAATGAGGGGAGTTTTGCAGAAACAAATAAGGAATGTGCAATCCTCTTAGAACAAAATGCAGAGATTGGAAACAAGGAAACAGATCAGCAGATTAAGGCATTAGCAGAGAAAAAAGAACCAGAGCCCAAAACACTTCAATCCAAAGGTGAGGAGGTTAGAATTAATGAAACAAATCAGGAGGACAAACACACTGACGTCACAAAGGAGAGTCAAACTCCTGAACTTAAAGATGTGAGCACAAAAACTGAAGTCAACAAAAAGGAGAGAGAAACAAAAGGGTCATCATTGAAGAGTTTGGAGAACAACAATTCAGGTGCTAACAGTGAAGTTAGCGTCCAGCAAGACAAGAAGTCTAAAGTTGGAAAAGACCAACCAGAGCCAGAGAAAAACAAACCAGCAAAATCCAGATCCAAAGCTCTCAAGAAAGAAAATGCTACGGAGAAGTCATTAGAAAGCCTACTTCCACAAGTGGATACCACTCAAAAAGTAGAGACAGTAAACGGTGAAACCAAGAGTGCTGAAGGTACCAGAGAAGAAGCTGAAACAAAGGATTCGTCTGTCAAGAGTTTGGTAAAAGAGACTGCAGCTGCTAATGCTAACATTGAAGTAAGCATAAAAGACAAAGAGTCCAAGATTAACACAGACCAAGTTGAGGACTTTACAAAACTTTCTGAAGACATTGCAACAAAATCTAAAAGTCCAAATGCCAACAAAGAACAGCAACCTGAGACAGAAAAGGCTCAGCAGAAGAGCAAAGAGAGCCAATCTTTACAGACGGACAGAGCTGAAAAACAAATAGCATTTAGCGGTGAAACCCAGAGTGCTAAAATTACAAGAGAAGAGGCCAAAACAAACAAACTGAAGAAGTCATTAGCTGTGAAAGATGACAAAATTAAAAGTCCAGAGATAAACAAATCTATAAAATCCAAAAGTCAAAATGCCTCTGAACGAAAGCAGCAACTTGAGAAGAAAAAAGCTCCAGAGAAGACATCAGAAAGTCCAGTTTTAGAAAGACAAAAACCAGCAGAAGAGACTGAGACACAAAGTTCATCAGTGCAGAGTTTAGTAAATGAGACACAAGTTACTGTTGGTAAAAGTGAAGTTAGCATCCAGCAAGACCAGAAGTCACTAACTGTTGGAGACATGACAAAACCAGCAACAGACAGTCAACCAAAGTCAACGAAATCTAAACATCCAAAAGGTATTGAAGAACAGAAATCAGAGACAGAAAAAGCTCTGGAGAGGAAAACTGAGGGCCGAGTCTCACCAATGGATTCAACTCAACAATCAAAAGCAGTAAGCAATGAAACCCAGAGGTCTGAAGTTACCAAAAAAGACACTCCAACAAAGGATCCAAAAATTGAGAGTTTAGTGAATAAGAATGCAAAATCAAACGCTATTAATGAAGTTCACATAGAGCAAGATCAGAAGACTAAAACTGTGAGAGATAAAGAGGAGATTAAAGAAGAGATCAAATCCCCTGAGACATCGAGTGCCTTGACAAATGTAACAGCAGCTGGTAAGACTGGTGAGAAACTGAAACAAAACCTCCCTAAAGAGATTGCTGCTGTTGAAAATAAAGTGGCAAAACAGGAGGATCAGCAGAAGACTGCATCAAAAATAGATGCCAAGAAAAAGTCAGAACCTATTTTTGTAGATGACGGATCTAGCAAAGGTTTGGGTGAACAAAAAGACGAGCCCTCCACAGTTTCAGACGAAGCTCTTAAAAGTTCTGATGCCCAGATGCAGGAGAGAGTTTCCAAAGACAAACCCCAAACCAAGAGTGGTTTAAAGCAGGAACTTCAGACCAAAGTACAAGAGAAAGCCGTCAGTGACCCTCAAAAGCCTGCAAGGTCAAAGGTCAATGGCAGTTTGACTCTTTCTGCTACAGAACAAGCATCTCAGATGAAGAAGGACTCTCCATCAAGCTGGTTGGATGTGGAGCATAATCAAAAACAGAAGAAAGTGCAAAGAAGAAAACTTGAAACTTCAGCCAGTGAGGACGACTCTCTTGAACCTGACGAAATCGACGACTTTATCAGGAGTATTAAAGAGGGCAGCATTCCTTTCTCAGCGCCTCCCAAGAGGCGCATTCGGAGAAAATCCCCGTCTCCACCTTTCACAATGCCGGCCATCAGAGAGGACCATTTTGAGAAAACGTTTGATCCAGAGGAGTTCCAGTTCGGCTTGAGATCATCGATCAAAAGTTTGAAGGATCCTTCTCCAGCTATGATGATGAAACAGAAAGCAGCGCAAAGGAAAGGACGTACCCTGGAGAAACACGAGCGGGATAATGGCATGCACTCATCTACAGGCAAAATGGAAGCGCTTGGTGAGACGGAAGGGAATGATGAAGGGAAAGAGGATGCAAATGTTGATGGGGAAGAAGGGGAGAAACAAAACAATGGAGAAGAGCCTTTGAAACCGAAGTCACGGCTTGAAAGGATGTCTATCCTCTCCGGCTTACTGAGTTCCCCTCGGTCCTCCAGGAGGACCAAAATGGAATCTACATTCGCCACATACGGTACGCTCTCATCCAACCAACAACAGGACCTGCCTGCGCCGGGACCACAGGGAGATGTTGCTTCACTTGCGCTTGGCGCTGGAGCAGATAAGGAGGGTGTGAAAGGTACAGATCAAGGCTCACTTGTGGGTGGTGGTGCAGGTAAAGCTAGTGAGTCAGCACTCAGCCACTCCTCTCCACCTCCTCCTGTGCCCTCGTTTGCTGAGATAAAGCTGCCTGATCATTTGGAGAAATACCTCAAGATGAACACAGGAGACTCAGAGACCTCGCGGCAATCTAATGAGACGGATGAACCTAAACTGAATCCTAAGGGGAGCGCTGAGATGGACCAGACCTCAACAGCTGCAGTACGGCATGTGGATGTAGGCATGAAGGGGCCTGCAGGACTGACTCCACCCAACATCTCCACCCAGAAAACTTCTAGAAATGGACTCTCTACTTCGAAGCCTAAGGTAACAATTGTTATAGATTAAATGAGGAGCTTTTATGGTTGATTGAGCTCAGATTTTCACTTTTGTAACAGCCTGGATGAGTTAAGACCTGCTAAGCTTTTACACAAAGCTTTGATCTGCTTAAGTGTATTTCCATGGTGAGGCGTCTTATTTGAAGATCCTGTTCTTTTATTTTGCAACAAAAAGACATGATTCATTTTGCAAGTGAGGACAGGACAAAGATGAATGCCCTCAGATTGGAATTAGGCACAGGTAGCCTTTGCCAAAATCATCTGAAGCTCAGCTCAGTAAGACATTTGCATCAACATGCAAATGGAGTAGAGCTTTGCAAAAAATCATGTTTGTATATAGACGAACAGTGTGAATGCTGCACAACATGTTCTTATTCCCCTTCATTTAGACCCTTTGCATTAACAGTTATTGTGGTTTATCTTCCTACATTATCCCAATGAACACCAACATATGTTAAGCATGAGTACTCTGGCAGCTTCAACATGATACAGATAACAAATGTAGAGTAAAGCGGGGGAGTATGTGGTATTGAAAAATTATCGTGATACTGATTTTAAAGTAGAGAATTTCACCCATTACTGTTGTTGGAGTAGAAGTATTTATGTTCGATATGACAATGAAAGGTAGTCACAAGTACTCCATCTAGAAATAGTTTTTTTTAGATTATCATACATTGCAAACCAATTTCATTTTTCAGAACTGTCTGCTCAGTAGTTGTGCTGCAGACAGCATTAAGTGTAAAACCTGAGCGCTAATTGATGCTAAAATACAAGAAGAAAACAGGTTTAAGGTAGTAGCTGCTAGCATACATGCTAGTGCGAATGCTAACTGGAGAAAATTGACCTCATAACAATTTTGTTACATTATAATTATTAACATTATTAACTATTATTTTAAGTGTTGTTTGGTAGCCAGGTTAAGAAGTTCAAATGACCACATTTCAAACAAAAAGGTGTTAAAAGACATGTTTCTATGTTTCTTTCATAAGGCTAGCCGTAGTGTCTGGAGAAGTGGTCTCTTATTAGAACAAAGGTTCGAGTTTTTAATCAAACTGTTGAATTTGCTTTCAGATACCTGCAGTCAGAGGGTTCCACAAAAGGCCTGGAAAGGTAAGATTAAATGTGTTAACTTGTGCTGTCCCACTGATAATTTGTTTGCTGCTTTATATGAATTGAAATGTCTGTTTCCACTTTCAGATTGTTGTGCATGAACTTGATCAATTTGGAGGGGAAGCATTTGAGCTCCACGGCGATGTAGAGGACGCCACCACGATGAAGCTGTCCCCGGTGATCTCAGTCAGAGTCATCAGAGGATGGTACGTGTCTCTGTGATAGTCTGAAGTCCCTTCAGGTTTAAATTCAAGTACATTTAAGGGTTTTGCTGGTACATTATAAAATGACACTACATAAAAAAATGAATGACTTCGCTGTACTTTCCTCATTCTAGTGCCATCTCCCATGATCCTCCTTGTTTTCTGTGTTTCTGCTTGTCCTTGTAGGCTTGTATCCAACAGAGACATCCATGGAGATGTCTAATTATCCCCTTCAGCTATCAGTTAAATCAAAATGATGTGAAAAGGTTTCTAACCCTGGTCATTTTTTTCCCCCCTCAGCTGGCTCCTTTATGAAAAACCGGGTTTCCAGGGTCGAACTATTGCCCTGGAGGAGGGTCCTACAGACCACATAGTGAACATGTGGGCAGAGGAGGGGACGCCAACAACATTAGACCAGATGGGTCAGCCTGTACCAACAGCACCAATGGTCATTGGCTCCATGCGCCTGGCAGTAAGGGTAAGTTATAGAGCTGTCTATCATACTGGATCTATATGTTGAGAGTTTTTGTATTTCCTTAAATGTTATTTTCCACCTGGAGTTACACAGTAAAGGTGCATGTGATATCTCTGGATTTTAATATAGGGTCATGTATAAACCTAAATACTGCTGTGGTATACACAAACTGAGGTTATTATTACATAAGACAATTCCTGTTATAACTCATAGTCTTAACAATGTTACGCCCTTTGTTCACCAAACCTTCTTTCTCCTGAGGCCAAAATTGTTTTGGTCTGTGCCATGGGAGTGTTACATTTTTACACTATTCTACTAACGGCAGCAGTGTAACAGGGGACTTGGTTGTAGAGAGGTGAAATGTTTGACCTTGGGTTGTCACAGTCACTTTTTACCAGGACAAATACCTTAACCGTCATATCCTGCATGTACAGTGCACTCAAATATACCAAATATAGATGTGTATCCTTCCTGTCTTCTTGTCAGCTTTAGCATACCTTCATCAAGAGCCATGTTGGGGGCACATTCTCTTTAGATAGTGTACCGCACGGATACAATGGCAACTACATTAAGCCAGATGCTACAAATATCTCAGTTAAACAACTCTGCATTCAACATTCAAAAGGGCTTCAAAGCAGTCTCATATGAGTGTTATGAGATGCACACTGCACTTGAAGGCTGCAAAAAAACTCTAATCAAAACACACCCTTTCAGTTAAAGTTCTTGCATGGCTGCTTGTGTGTTAACGTTATATATATATATACATATATTGGGGCTTTTTCATGCCTTTATTGTAGAGACAGGATAGTGGATAGAATGGATATCAGAAAGAGAGAGAGAGAGAGAGAGAGAGAGAGCGAGAGAGTGGGGACTGACATTCAAGAGACCAATACTTTATCAGGATTCTCATACCAACAAAGCAATCCATCACTAAGAACTGGCTTCTGACTGGAAGGAAGGAAGAAGATTTTGCAAAAGGAGGGGGGAAATGGCAAGCAATTCAAACTATACAGGAAATGAGGAGTAAATGCTGTAAAGCTAAAATGTAGTCCTCATCCACCCCACACGTCCAGTCAATATGTTACTGTAACCCCCCCGCTTATTATCTTTCTCTTTTTTCCTCCTCTCCGAATCCCTTTTCTTATATTGTATTAAACCTTTAACTTTACTCTTTTCAATGTTTTTTCCATATATTCGATCAGTGTTAAAACCAGATACAAATATAAATTGAAAGAACAAATTAAAATAATGTTTTGGAGTATTTTTTTTTCCAATTCTCCTCATAAAGAGCAATAACGTGAAAGCTCAGATATAAAAAATATAATCGGAAAACTGGAGTAGAGTGAGACTTTTTTTAAATTACAAAATTTAAATTCGTACTGATTGTTCAGAAAAGTGAAAAAACCAAAGCATGCTTCTGAAAAAGGAGAAGAGTGCCTTGTTTCTTCACTCTGTTTGAATTCTTGTGTTCCCCACCAAACAGCACCTTCACAACACTTTGTTTTAACATCCGAGCACTCCAGACTCCCGATGTCTCACTGATTGTTATTTGTGTTTCACAGGACTACAGCATACCCCGTGTTGACCTGTATACAGAGGTCAATGGGTTGGGCAGGATGTCGTCTTACTGTGATGACACCGTAGAGATCGGCTCTTATGCAATCCCACAGACCACCGGATCCATTAAGGTCCACTCTGGAGTGTAAGTTCACACGACATAGTGGCCTCTTTAGTGGCACTAGATTTAAATGATCAGAAAATGAAAAATCCATTGTTGGTGGCAGCGTCATACTATCTAGTAACGTCCAAGCTAACACAGTTAAAAACTTTGCAAAGTCTGTACAGGACAGAGTCCATGTGCAGCATCTGTTCTCTAAGAAGGAATGCACGCTGCAGGCCGCAGCTTGTGGTTGTCAGAGTTTTAACTGCTGCTAGTTATTGATGGTTAGCACTAACATTTTTTAGAACTATACTTCATTATACAAGAGGAAAAGACAGAGTACAGTGAGGAAATAACTCTTAAGTGTCACACTCAGGTTCTTACCCTCTCTCCTGTGTGTGTGTGTGTGTGTGTGTGTGTGTGTGTGTGTGTGTGTGTGTGTGTGTGTGTGTGTGTGTGTGTGTGTGTGTGTGTGTGTGTGTGTGTGTGTGTGTGTGTGTGTGTGTGTGTGTGTGTGTGTGTGTGTGTGTCCTCAGCTGGCTGGTGTACACTGATCCTGGCTTTGGAGGATTTGTAGGAGTGCTGGAGGTGGGGGAGTTCCCCTGCCCAGAGACCTGGGGTTTCCCTCAGCCTTTCATCGGGTCCCTCAGACCCCTCCGAATGGTACACTACAACAAAGACAGATATATATGTTTGGACTACATTCATCCATTCTCATGTTTCTATGTCTGAAAATCATGTTTCTCTTCTTCACAGGGAGCAATAAAAGTGGAGCATCCCGTTGAAGTCAAGGTGTGTACTGCACTTCATCACACGTGTTTCCTCTATCAATATCAGATGTTCATAGAAAGACACACAGAGAGCAAATGAACAACACAAAGTCCTGAGTATTAGTTACATGTGCTAACTCACGCTTAGAGAGTCTTATTTAGAGGCAAAACAACGGTGAGAGAGGGAAGTGAATCCAGTGCGATCCCAGAAGTGGAGCTGATTAATGATGTAAACTGCTTGATAAGGATTATTGGAGCATTATGTTTCAATGTTTGGGGTTAGGGTTTAAAAGGGTTTTTAAAGACAGTTTAAGACTCTCTAATGATTTTAGTTAGACGCCCTTCTTCTTCTTCTCACCCGTCTACCTGCATTCACTCTGCATGTGCGTCAGAGAAGAGTACACCACAAGCTAACGCTGTGATCTTGTTATACCAGAATGTCGGGGGAAATGTAGTTTGATGTGGTGAATGGTGACAACGATGTTCTGTGCTTCTCATGCATCCCTCATAGATTTATTATGTACCAATAGTGGCCAAGCCGGTTTTCCACTCTGGCTTTAAATAATATAGATAATTAAAATGCAAAACATTTCCAGTAACCCTTTAACTACAGGAACTAAACGAGGAACTTAGTCTGTTTCAAATATTCCCCCTACAACATCCAAAGCAGTGTGAACTTCACTAGTCACACCTGAGGGAGAGCCATCCTGTTTTATTTACTGCTGTGTGGCTTGAATTTAATGTAATGAATAAATAAAAAATCAGATGAGAGAGAGTGGAAACTGCAGAGAACCTACCTTTAATTTAAGTGTTAATAAACAACATGTGAAACAACACCTTGTATAAGTACAAGCTGCACCCATAACTCCAGTGTTTGTTAATGAAGCTGTACACAAACTGAACTTACTGCAGTATGTATGACTGACTGATCAGTGAAGTGCAGCCCTGAAAACTGTCCAGGCACATGGGTCATAAAGTACCAACCAGCATACATCGCACACCCGGAAGTGAACTACAGGATTTAGAGCTGACCCCCTTGTTCCTCCTGTAGAAACTGGGCTAAAGTTTGTCCAAATGGAAAATTTGTGGAGCAGTTCACACTTTTATTGCATGCCTCCAGTATTCTGCCACCTCTCAGCCTGCAGTCTGTACTTACAACCTTTGCTCCTCTTTGACAGACACATGTAAAGATGTATTATCACTGTAGTTTGTGGAATGAGTGGTATTCTTCCTAAGGACACATAAACACACACGCTCACACAGTAACACACTTAAAGGCCTTTGCTTTAACTAAAACTCATTTTGAACTCCTTCCTCTCCTTTGACCTCTCAGGCTTTAGTGTTTGAGAAACCAAACTTTGAAGGGGAGTGCTTAGAGGTGGACTGTGACGTGTACGACCTTCAAGACGAGCCGGACGAGGAAAGCAAGAGCAAGAAGACGCTGTCTGCAGTGGGGTCTATGAAAGTACTCGGTGGTCTGTAAGTACATGTTTAGGTTGAAAAAATGAGCCAAAGATTAATCAGCGAATCATCAGAATGTTATGCAGACCATGCAAATAATTTGGTATTCACAGGTTAAAGAAGTTGATACATTTCTTTGTCGTTGCATCAATTTTGGAAACAAAAACAGGAGTTTGTATTTTTATTATTCAAAGAAAACACAAGAGCTGAACGATGGTTCTACTTATGTTGTAATCATTCCTGGTTTATACTTCAGTTTATTGTCTGTGCTGCATTTTAAACACGTTACATTTAGTTTTTTTAAAGGATTTTATTTGGCTTTGTTAATATTGAGAACAGCTTCTTACTGAGATGACTTTGTGATTGCAAAACAGCAAAAGAGTCTTTTGAACAGTTATCTTTAAAGTGGAATTTAAGGTCGTCATGTTCATTACATTTTTTATTTTACATTTCGTATGATTCCCGAGGGGAAATTCTGGTTTACACTCTGTTATTGAGGGACATGCTTCTCACACACACACACACACACACAGACCAGACCTGTGGACATGCATTAACTGCAACACAGGGAGGGTGCCACAGCTGTTGGGGTTTGGTGCCTTGCTCAAGGGCACCTTAGTGGTACTCGTGAAGTGACCCATCACCTCTTCAGCTACCACACCAACTTCCATATTATGGAATATTAGGTTCCCAACCTAAGTCCCTACAGACTGAGCTACTGCCTGATCTGTGGGATGAATTTTGTCATCACTCAAAGATGATGTAATGAAGGCCTGATGTTCTCGTGTTTTTATAGAAAGGGGACGTTAACAACAACAAAAAAGTGAAAAAAAATTACTTAAGGAACAAATTGGGCTGTATAGTTTTTTTTAACAATGGACTCTGTATTGTCCCTGATTTTCTCAACCGCTGCTAAAAAAAAAGACTTAAGAAGATTAGGGGGTTTGGATTGAGATTAAAGGTTAAATCTACCAAGAGGTGTGTTGAACAAACGTGTGTTGTCAGATTTTGGGAGGATTTCCTTCTTCTTGGTGGTTATTACTGAAATGTGAACTTGTAGCTAATACCTTTTGTTTGTGGTCACAGCTGGGTGGGCTATCAGGAGTCGGACTTTGAGGGCCAGCAGTACATCCTGGAGGAAGGGGAGTATCCTCACTGCAGCGACTGGGGAGGAGCTGAGGACGGGCTGCAGTCTCTGCGGCCTGTACGCTCAGTAAGTATCACCTGGAATGACACATCAACAGGATGATATGAATCCTGTTTGATCTTGTCTCAGTCTTCAGGCTTTAAACATTCATTGCTGCAGCGTTGAAAGGTAGAAAACTGGCTCTTAACTTTCGAATCATTTTTTTTTACGTGCCATTCTCCCCTTAAGGACTTCCTGTCTCCTCATGCTAAACTGTGCAGTGAGCCACACTTCAACCAGCTCGGGCTCAGCATGGACCTGCTGGGTCCCGTCATCAACATGGAGGACACCGGCTACGGAGTCAAAACTCAGTCCGTAAACATCATGGGAGGAGTGTAAGTGGGAAAAAAAAAAAAACAGATTAACGATTTTATCTGTGTATTGTTCACGCCCTTTTAGTGTTAGGGTGTGTCTGAGTTTCTCACCAAGACAGGACAGATCCTCCTGTTACTGCACACACACATACACACACACACACACACACACACACACACACACAGGCTCACATACAGCCTAAGAGGAAATGTAACAGCATGATAGATGTTTTGTGTAATTGATGCGTCAGGTCTGATCAAGGATGAAAAGAATCTGTATTCTTTTGAGGGTATTGGTTTACACTGACGGGCGACTTATGTTACTATGAAACTTATACATTACGAGTTTATTTTAGAGTTCTTGTTATTCTAGTACAGAAGCTTATTTTACCTACAGTAGGACTTCCCAAACTTTTTAGCCCGCGAACACCCAAAGATTATTTTCATTGTCGTCTTGTATCTTAATTTGTTTTGTTTTTTGTTTCCCTGGCAGGTGGGTGGGCTTTGAGAACCCTGGATTCAACGGGGATCTCTACGTCCTGGAGAAGGGACTCTATACGAGCTCAGAGGACTGGGGAGCCCGGAACCCCAAGATCTCATCCGTACAGCCTGTCTTCCATGTAAGTAAAACATGTGTAGGATCAGTGAAAAGAAGAGTGTCTGCCATTGTGATGAGAATCTAAAAACAGCCAGCCAACTTTTTTTTTTTAAATCTGATGTTTAACCTTCCTCCTGTCTGCTCCACAGGACTCTCCGATGGGAACTCCAAAATTCAAGGTATCATTTCATCCATTTAAGCCTTGATATAAAACATATTGACACATTTTCCCCTCACCATGAAGGGTCTCTATTCCAGCGGGGTCACTTAGTTCTGTTGCTACATGTGTTACAGGTGAAACTGTATTCTGAGCCGGACTTCCAGGGGAGGCTGGTGGCTCTGGAGGAGAGCGCAGCAGCTCTGGATGAGGACTTCATACCCAGGTCCTGTAAGGTGATGGCTGGCAGGTAGGCACCAATTCATCCAAACACTGCCTGGAACGTCCAGTGACTCTCTGGGCATCGTTTATCAGACATGATCAAACAAAGCTCTCTTGTGGTTTAAAGGGGGTATTGCAGTTTAACCCAAAAGGGGTCTAAATGACTAATGGATGCAAACTGTTTAGGAATTGCATCTTCTTTCACACATTCACTCCTGACAAATTCTAGGAAATGTTAGGACAGCCTGCTGTGACATTTCTCAGAGTTGTCCTCTCACACATGTCCCTACCAGCAGGCGATTTTCCCTGTCTGTTTATTATATATTCAAGATGGCGGATCAAGCAGCAGCGTCTGATCCTACGATGTTTGCTATGAGTCTGAAAATGTACCAACATTTTCAGGACTCTTGTGCATGTGTGAAAAGGCTTTTACATTGATCAGGGGCATTTCCCCCAAAGACTGCATGTAACAAATGTCTAAGTGTCAGTTGCATCCTGAAGTTGGAGAAGTGTTCCTGCCCCTGGCACAAAGAGGGAGGGTAGTTATTGGTAACGTGAAGAACAATTTGACAGTGATGTTATGAGTGTAATGATGTGTGTGTGTGTCTCTGTGTGTCAGCTGGGTGGCTTATGGAGGAGCACAGTTCACAGACCACATGTACGTGTTGGAGGAGGGAGAATACCCCAACACAGAGGCCATGGGCATCATGTCTTCAGAATCCACTTTCTGTTCCATACAGACCAACAGACCTGTGAGTACTTTCTGTGTGATTTTTTAAAAAAAGCCACCCTGCCTAACTGATAATAGAAGCGTGATCAATAGATGAGACATGTTATGAATTCTCTGTTTTTGTCTTTTTGTCAGGAGCTTTCTCTGCCCTCCATCACGTTGTTCAGTAAGGAGGGCTGCAGAGGTCGCAGGCTGGTGTTGAGTAGAGGAGCTGTGAACCTGCTGCGGGACGGCCTGGATGCTCGCATACGCTCCCTGGTGGTGGAGGGAGGAATGTACGACACTGCATTTTAAATTTCTACTACCATCTTGTTTAGTATCTTTGAACTGTAGGCATAACAAGTACTGGGAATACATGAATAAATCAGAACATAATGACATCAGTAAATATTAGAACTGGCCTGAAATTAAAAAAAAAAAAAAATCTACTGTCCGGCTAAGATGACACTCTGTGTAGAATCGTGTTGAATAGAAGGTGGCTGGATGAAACCTCAGCTGACATAGTTGACTTATTCGTTCTGGTAAACATTTTAAGAAGCATCATGTTTCTGCGTCTGCTTGTTTGTAACAAGCAGTGGAATAATATATACATTTCACTACAGGAGAGACTTAATGGGGTTTTTTGGGGGGAAAGGGTATCTACAGTATCTGCAATCGTCAAGAAATCAGTCAGAGATTATGATCATATCAGATATGAGTAAAAATCCCTTTGTGGAGTCCTAGCAGGTAATCTGTGTCTTAAAAGAAAAGCTGCGTCATTAGCATTCAAATCACATAAACTCAACAGAGACAGAGTGTTGAATTTAGGGAATTTCACTCTTCAGTTGTGAAAGGGAACCACCCTCAATATATTTGTGTAAACACAAAAATCACATTTTTAAGTAATGATTAAAAAGTAATACATGGAGCTGAGCTGGGGGTTTTTTATTTCAAGCTGAGCTAACACACGGCTGACTGTCCTCTCCTCAGGTGGGTGTTGTATGAAGGCAGTAACTACAGTGGTCGACAGCTGCTTCTGCAGCCAGGTGAAGTGCTTGATTTGTACAAGATGAGCGGCTGGCAGCGAATAGGATCCCTGCGTCCGCTGATCCAGGTACGAGACTATCATGTGGTACAGGTCTTTAAAAACTCAAAGTCTCATACACTGACTAAGTTATTGTCCCTGATCCATCTATTTTGATTCTCCCATGTAAAATAATTCAAATATGAGGAAGATGTGATCGATAAAACACAAACTAAAACACTTACTCTCATGTATTGTTGAATCAACTCTCCCCATGTGGTGTTGAATGTTTCCCTCCACAGAAGCAGATGTTCTTCCGTCTGCAGAACAGGGAAACAGGATGTGTGATGTCACTGACAGGAACTCTGGAAGACATCAAGCTGATGAGGGTTCAGGCTGTGGAGGAGACTGGAGGGGTGGAGCAGGTCTGGGTCTATCAGGACGGGCAGCTTACCTGCAAGGTACAACACACAAAACTGCTAATGCTCTAAACCCACATGAGAGGAAACTCTTACCAAAGCACACGGGGGACGACAAACAGAGCTGTGTGCACTTCAAAGGATCATTTGAGTCATTCAGCTCGACTCAAAAGATGCAGCGCTTGTCATGTAATTCTTCAAACAGATGCCACTGATGAATCAAAAGTGTTTCATTAACAGAGACATGAAATCTAAATTTCAGCTTTTACCCTGAGACTTTTGGTTGCACAGCCGACAGTAACGACGTCTGAGCCCTAAATGTTCTACATTTTGCACACAACGTTTATTCATTTCTAAACAGCCGTCACTTTTCTGTAGGAACTGCTGCACCACTTTAACATATGCAATACTTATTGTGTTCGGTGTTGTTATTGTAAGTGGCTGTGTACATGAAAACAAGGGCGTGTTCAGGACAGTATGAAAGGCAGGAAGATAGCTTGATTTCCCAACAGACTCAGTATTTATTATAAAGGTGGCCTCCATCAAAGAGAGGTTTGTTTGTGTTCCTGTCTGTTGTCTTCCAGTCGGCTGCAGATCTAAAGACGTGTAGACTGCTTTCTGTGCAGTTTGGTGGGAAATGAAGCAACAAGTCAAGTCTCAAGAGCGTAGCTAGAAATGTAACCTGAAGACTTTCTTTTCAAAGTGTCTTAAAAAGGCTTTTATAGTCTGTCACATGTGGTAAACGATCATCAAGCACATTTACCATATCAGTTTGACCAGTCTCTAATGACTAAAGTGCATGCTGCTGGAGACATTTATTGCTCACTCACTAATGCCTCTTCATCCTGGTCCTCCAGCTGGTGGAGGACTGCTGTCTGGAGACCTCAGGCAGTGTGTTGATGGCGGGCTGCCGGCTCTGCGTTTCCCCCGAGAGAGGAAAAGCAAACCAGCTGTGGAACATCACTGCAGACGGCCTGGTGCGCTGCCACCTCAAACCGGACCTGGTCATGGAGGTCAAAGGTCAGATATCAGAAAGAAATCTTTGTCAAGTTAAAGTGCATAGAATTAAAGAATATAAAAAAAATGTAAAGAAGAAAGGTTAGACTTCCCTGTGTAGTACAACTCCAGTATATGGGTGAGACCAAATCCTAATCCAACAGCTCCCTCTGCTGGTGTGTTGAGGTGGTGCAGTGACAGGATATATCACAATTTACCACCTGTTGTCAATAGTCTAATTTGTTTAATTTGTTATACACTGATGTTTTAATTAATGCTTTTTGAAAGAGGGGCAGATATAATAAGATTAGTCTTCTTTCTGCTCCTTTTCATTTCATTTATGTTTGTTTGTTTTTTCCTAACTTTATTGTTTGTTTGAATGAAATAAAATTCAAAAAAATTAAAATGGACCTAATTCACAGAAAATTGGGCAGCTATTGGACCAACTTATCCTGCGCAAATGACAAAACATGCTCCCCTAACTGCACTGCCCTAACCGCAAAAAAACATCCCTGTGCTTTAGTGCTGCAGCAATTGTGAACTTATTGAAGGCTAAATCGACCTCTTTCTGCGCAAATCAGCTGCATGCAGTTAGAGTGAAAATGTTACCGTCTGCTCAGAGACGGTGGATACTGTGCAACATTACTCACAAGTGATGTCACACTTGAAGTTTCATCATGTGTTTTACGACACTCTGTACATTACTTTGAACAGTACAATCATTATTGTAATCAGGGGACTTTTAGACAGAGCAGATAGTGGTGGTAATTGATGCAGCTTCATGCAGACACAACTATTCTTAATGACTTCTGTTTACTTGTTTTTCACTCTAGGTGGTCAACAGTATGACAAAAACCAGGTGATCATCAACACCTTCGATGAGAGCAAGTTAAGCCAAAGGTGGACTTTGGTGATCCTGTGATCTGTGGTCCCCCTGCTGCAGCTCCGCCAGAGGCACTGAGCCCTGTGATGCAGCTCCACCGTAGCGCCCACACCGAAGAGATGAACCCAGCGGGTCATTTAAAACTGCACTCTTTCGTCTTTTTTTGACTCTTGATGAGGAGTGCAACGATTAACTGTCTCAACACTACATCCAGTCGTTTGATGTCTTTTTCAGAGTTTAGAAACATTATACACCAAAGACTTTGACTCCCCACTCTCTGTTTTCACTGCATTTAGTGAGAACTCTGCCCTGTCTTAATGCTGCTTGTTACTTCATGGTACTTCTTTTTTCTGCAGAGGTCCAATGTCTGCTCTTTAGAAATGTTGACAAATATGAATGTATACTTTAAAATGTCAGCTGCAATCTAAAGTCTGCTGTGCCTTCACTCCAAAGATCTCTGTCCAGTTATTTTCCTGTAAATTGTTTGATATCTTTTAGAGTTTTTTTTAGCTTTTTATCTTTTCATACATACCATTCTTCACTACTTTAGTTTGTACAGAATCATTAAGTGTATAGTTTGACCTTCTTAGCAGAACTTCAATAAAAGATTCTGCTCCCTGCTGATTGTAAATATGTGAATGTAAAAGAAAGAACTGTTATACATGAGGATAAGGATCTGATTTGATTTCTTGTCTTTTTTTAAATAAAATATTGTTTTTCTCAGGACATTGAAGAAGTCATGTTGTGGATGTCATTTCTTTTATTAGGTTTAGGTTTTCTTTTATTACTCTGAAGGTCAAATTACTTTTTTCATCTTTCATAGATTAAGAGTGGAATTGATTTAGATCTGCAGAGCACTCTGCATTTAAAACAAACAACACTTGCTCTGAAATAAATAGAGAAGCTGAAGTTACAATTTAGACATGCAATAAGAAAAAATGAGAAGTGACAGAGTTTCGGGCTAATAAATGGAGTCATGAGACTGCTGCGTAAACAAACATACACTGACTAATTCAGAGAATATTGGAGGTATTTCACATATTCTTATCAGTATGGAAATAACTCTGACTTAGATCACTTACTTTTTAATTAAATGACAACATCACACTTTAAATGTCGGTCATTTGGGGGGGCAGCAGTAGCTCAGTCTGTAGGGTTGGGAACCAGGGGGTCAAGTTCAAGTCCCGATGCAGACCAAAGTATGGAAGATGGTCTGGTGGCTGGAGAGGTGCCAGGTCACTTCCAGAGTACTGCCGAGATGCCCTTGAGCAAGGCATCAAACCCCCAACCGCTCTGACAAGCTCCCTGTGTAGCAGCCCACTCTGACAACTCTCCATGAATGCATGCACACAGTTCCTGTTTGTGTGTGATCCGGGCCAATGTGTGTGAGAAGCATGACTCTCAATAACCGAGTGTAAAAAAACAGAAATTCTCCTCTGGGATTAATAAAGTATGTACAAAAAAACTATTTCAAATTCTGTTTTGCTGTATAAGAACACCTCATCATGTCTTTGACAACCGCTTAGTCATGTTTTCTACGTTAAAAAACTGTTTTTGGAGAGACATTGATCCAACTTAACTTTGAAGACTGAAACCTGTTGGAATAAAGTGATATGTGTAATATTAATGATGTCTTTTGGCTTAATGGAAAACCTGTTACTATGCATGAAGAGAGGATTTTGTGTATTAGGCTGCTTTATTTTAAACTCTGTGTACCTATAACTGCCTTGACGTTTTTGTGGGAAAAGACAGAATGAACATTGCCCGAAACCATTGTGCACGCCTTGTTTCAAATGCTACCTCAACCTACCTTTTCTTCAATCTAGAAACAAGCCAAGAGGTTGAGGTACGCCTCTTGGCAAGGCATGGGTAAAGAGCTACAATGTGTCCACTGGTTCCTCAACTCAGTAAAGCCCATAATCTGCCTGACTCTTAGGATTATCAAATCAAAACAGATAAGCTTTAAACAAATCTTCCCTCCTGCAGTGTGAACCGATAAAGAAATTAGCTTTTGTGTAGCAAATTAGTTTTTTACAACCTATCTGTAAACATGTTAATTCCTGCTGTGAAGTGGACATTTGAATATGGGCCTAATAGGACAGCTGGGGCTTTAGACTCAGCCTCATGTGGACACTCAAGGAACTGCAGTTTTCTGCACCACAGCATTGACTTCCTTTCTCACACCTGAGGTTGGTTCTTGTCCAAACCCATTTTTTTTCAGTTATATTACCTTGACAGACCTCATATGTTTACTGTTTTTTACTTTACTTTATCTTAACAACTATAAAAAGACTGAGTAATTATAAGCAACCACGCACATCTGTAGTTCTTAATTATTGTAGTTCTTAAGTATTATCTTCTTATGACACGCTCAGTAAAGCAACAAAACCCATAGACAAAGAAACACACACAGTGATTATAGTAAATTTGTACTTTGTTTCCAAACCGCATACCTTTAAATTCTAGTCTTTGTTTCATTGAGTTCATTTCAAAAATGTCTCTCATAGAGTCAGTGCTATAAGTCGCCTCCTCCTTTGCTGATCTGGACCACAGTCTTTCCTCGAGCGTGACCCTTCTCCACTTTCTCCAAGGCCTGAGGGACCTGCGAGAAGCTGAAGGTCTCATCCAGCACAGCCCGGATCTGACAGAGAGCAGAATGATGCAGGGTGAGCAGAGAGCTAATACAAGATGTGAGGGTACATTTGAATCACGCTACAAACAACAGAGACGTATCAGTTAAGAGATGGAGCTTCTTCAAACAATCGTTTTCTGGATGCTGCTCGGTTTTCTTTACTCCAATCAAGATTTGAGGGGTATCACAATGGCAAATAATCTAGAAGGAACACTAGACTGTAAATAGGGAACATAGTTTCTGTACATTGTGTGCCCTGAATATTGACAGAAGACATTATGTACCCTACCTGTCCTGCATCCACCATCGCCCTTATTTCATCCAGTGCAGGACCGCTGGGTGCAAAGAATCCCCAGCGGTAGTGAACTCCTCTGACGAGGTGCTGTGAGAAAACAAGAGTGAGAGGAAAAGCATGAAGAAAGGCTCTTAAGTTCACTGTGTGCATTAATGTGTTTTTTAATACAACTGTGAATGTTCAGAATACATTTGTAACAACTGCAGCTCGGTTTTGAGCTCCTCCGTTTTTTAATTGTGCACTGCGTTACTTTTTTTCTGTCTATGAACATGTACAAAGATTCAGGACTATTGGAAAGGTATTTTAAAATCTTTGTCACAGGTTTTTAAAACAAAAATTCCTTTGTATGTCAAACTCTGTGTGCATGGAATATTTTCCAGAGGACTTTACACAAACGCACAAACACACCAAACTACTGGACTTTGGACTTCTGCAAGCCAGGAGAGCTACTGCACTACGTTGGAAACGTATGGATGCTCCCACATTGAGAATGTGGATAAGGGAACTTTTACAGTGTAAGAGACTTAGTCCAGCTCTGGGAACAATATGTGAACATTAAGGAAGACAGGAGGCTTCACCTGAACAGGAATGATAAAAGTGAAGAGAATATTTTATTTTACATATTGTATTACTTGATTTAACTTTTTTTTTAATCTAAAAATATGTGCCGGTTGAGTGTGAGTATGTAAGTTTGTGTCATTTATGGATACATGTACGGTATGTGTTGATCTTTGCTGCTGTGACACTGTGCATTCCTCCATGTGGGATAAACAAAAGTTTCTCTTATCTTATCACCTGATGTCTTATTTCTATAATGCGTGCTACATTTGCCTGTACATTGAGAGAATGTAAAACCAGCCCAAGTCCTTGTATGTGCCCACATACTTGGCCAATAAATCGGATTCTGATCCTTCTCATCACTTATTTCCCTGTCTTTGTACAACAGCATACACACATACATTAATGTGTATGCGTGTATATAATAAACATATGCACATTTACACTTTCATGACTCAAACCAAGAGGATCATGTGTGTCACCAACTGGGTGGTGATTAATCCTATTTCCCCTAACTGCTGAGCTGGATTCCATTTTATTATGGTTGACCTACATTAGTTTGTATTTGTGTGTGTGTGTGTGTGTGTGTGTGTGTGTGTGTGTGTGTCTGTGTGTGTGTTGAAGGGAAGAAAAGAGTTACTTCACATGTTTCCTTGAGGCCTTTATAAAAACGAGGACACAGTGACAACACGCCAGCTGTTGGCGCTCTGCCTGCTTTTCTTTAACCAGACAAAGTAAAGTGTGTGTGTGTGTGTGCGCGAGTGAAACAGGAGGTGAGACCTGAAGATGTGCAGTAGTTTGAGCTTCCTGTTCCTTTCCTTTATACCTCAATGTGACATCATCCTGCTGTGAGTGTCTTTCCATTGAAGTTTTCAAAAGTTTTTTATAAATGGATACTTTTCAAAACCTCCTGTTTTATAATAATACAAATGTAGCTAGTTGGAATAGTTTTTCAGATCTATTTTTTTGGCTGCGTTAACAAAACAGGTATTCATATTATTTGATTTCTACTTGTATTGTATTGACACTTAAAGCTCTGGTACTTTGACAACACTTCTTTCCATATTTGATGTTTTTAAACAATCATGCTGCGTCAGTCTGGATAATCTGTGTCACATTTGAGGTCTGACTGGAGACAAAATGTGAGACACAATGCTGTTGTAGAGTAGATATAACTCTTATACACTGACTGAATGAGGCCCAAGGTGTGCCCATAAAGAATCTTATGAGGAAGTTCAAAAATGTGAATGGGACACAGCTGTTGATTTCTCTACTATGGAAACTAAAAACGGAGCACTTCTCCAGCACTACAAAGACACTTCAGTGCAGGAAACACTTTCCTCACTGTGAGGAGGAAGAGGATTTGCAAGAGAGGGAAAAGACGCAGCACACTTCTCTAACACGGACAGGATAGAGGACATATAGGAAAGAATTAGCAGTGATGGAGTACAGCTCTGCTCCTCACACTTTCAGCACTTGGGGCAAACCCCAGAGTTTGACATTCACACACTCTGAAAAGAAAAGGGCAAAGTTTCGCTGGGGCTGTCCCAACTTCTTACTTTCCCCTCCATCCTGCCTTACTTTCTTCAGTTTCGAATTCACGACAAGTTTTTAAGTCCTGCTTTACTTTGAAGGCAGTGAGGAAGTCAGAAACGAAACCGCAACTGTCATTCTAAACTGAGCTCACTGTTTTATTGTCAGACGTACCACACTGAGGATATCCACCTTAGAGAGCTGCACATTAGGGGAATCAACAGAATCGAAAGCATTTTTTACTCGGCCTCGGACTGGGCGGATTCCAGATTTTAAACCAAGACCGGTCAAGGGCACCACTGACAGGCTATTATTCCACATCAGTACTGTGATTAGAAGGGAAAACGGCCCTTTCTAAAAGAACAAATAACTTCAATTCATTTGTAGTTTGGTCTAAATAAGTGACACGCCTCCTAAACACAAGATGATGATCTTCAATTGATATTTAGGGTCTTGTCTCGATCTCGATCCCTTCAGATCTTTCAAGATGACGGTGACAGCATGAGATGCTAAATATAAGCAATCCTATCCTTCTGTCAGACAAATACATTTTTTGCACTAGTTTGAAGATATCTGTAGATTCTTTGATGCCAGGGGTGGGACAAAATATAAAAATATTAACAGCAAAAATCATACATGCAAGACAATAATCCACATACTGGCACCAAGTATCAATATTAAATATCGCTCTTTATAGATTCACCTGCCAGTTTGACTTATTGCATCACCACTTCATTACTCCTCACCGTGGCATTCATGACAAGAATGAGTGAAACATAAACCGAAGTAAATTAACCAAAGGAGAGGATGACAGAGGGATACTGGATGAAAAGGAAGAGGACAGCAGGATCAATTAACTAATCCATTCATACATGTTGATTCACCGCTGACGAAGCAGAGGGAGCAATACAGGGTTAAGTGTCTTGCCCAAGGACACATCGGACATGTTGCTGCAGGAGCTGGGGCTCGAACCCTCGACCTTCCAGTTGAGAGACGACCGACTGAGCGACAGCTGTCCAGTTAAGAGACAGAATAAAAACATGAATCCCGCTCTTTGCCTTTTTAGAAGCATTTTATATATTTCATTTAATTCATCATAGATAAACTCTGAACTTTCATAGTGTTTATATTTTTCTGTTGGAGGATACTTTAAGGTAATATTTTCTCCGTTTTTTTTGAGGTAGCTTCTTGCAGTGAACATATAACTCTCCTACCTCACACATGTGCTCCTATACTTCCTCTCTTGATGCACTTCTTTTGGTTTTAGGTGTAACCGATCAAAGAATCAGGAAGGAAGTGAAGATGTTTTTTTCACTTTTTGGTTCGCTTGTTGCTGCACCGACATTGAGGCATGTATTTTATCTTCAGTGGAAAAATGTGGTGAGTGCACGGATGTGAAACGGGCACACACACACACACACACACACACACACACACACACACACACACACACACACACACACACACACACACACACACACACACACACACACACACACACACACACACACACACACACACACACACACACACACACACACACACACACACACACACACACACACACACACACACACACACACACACACACGCCACAAATGCCACAAATGCACAGCGAGCAAGTTCTGCTCTGCATAATTTTCACCGCAGTGGCCACCGACAGGATTGTTGATTGAAGGAAATAACTGATGTGTTAACTAACCAGGTCTCAAAGTCTTGTGAGAAAATCTTTTTCAGTAAATCAGTGTGACAGTATGTCAAGGAGCTGGGTTTTTTTGGGGTTTAGTAATGAAGTCTTCTGCAATCCCTACGTGTGTCATCTGAAGGAAGGTGTCCACACACTTCCTTGGGATGTTCACAGACTTTTGGCCGTCAAGTGTGCAGAATAAATACAGTTGTGATTTCTTCATTCTGATTGTAGAAGTTAACTATTCATAGAAAAGATCATAGACACAATCTGTGTTAAATGTTTCAGTTAAGGTTTGATCTCTATGAAACATTCAGTTCATGTTGGATTGAATCATTCTAATGTTCATTGTTTCTTTTGGCATAGAAAAGTGTGTGAGCATTTCCTTTTTTATAGTTTTTACTAACACAAAAAGCTGTAAGCAGCAACATTCACAAGAAGAACAAGAGGCATGTATACATATTCTTTACTCAACACAGAGGTCAACCCTGAATGTGCTCTAGCGTGTATACAGTATGTGCTAATCTCGCCCTCTCAGGATGGATGGCGTTGTGTTGTGTCATGAAGTTGAGTCATGATCTTCAGCTCGCTGTGTCAACACTGTGATCCTTTTTCAAATGAAACTGTGCAGATAAAACTTTGCACTGTTTGTATGGTATATATGATATTTGATTCTAAAGATACAAATCTTTAGAATCAAATATTTCAAGTTGATCCTAGATTTGTATACATTGTGTGTTAGAATAGAGATAAATACACTCCTATTGGCAGAATTACCTGCAGCAACATAGAGTGATGTAGATCATTGGTTCCCAACCTGGGGTCTGGGACCCCCGAGGGGAGGAGGCTTTGGCTGTTCTGAAGTTGTCAAAATTAGATCTGGTGATGTTTCTCCTTTTTTTTAGGCCTCTTCTGTTTATCTTCATTTTTGACAGCAATGTAGCACTGTGTGTGTGTGTGTGTGTGTGTGTGTGTGTGTGTGTGTGTGTGTGTGTGTGTGTGTGTGTGTGTGTGTGTGTGTGTGTGTGAGGGGGGGCTCAGCTTTTAAGATACAAGTAGAGGGGCTCCAAGGAAAAAAGGTTGGAAACCACTGGTGTAGTTCATTAATGGATCTTTTCATAAAGCACCCTCTGGTCAACATCCTCATTTGGATAAATACTGAAATAGAGCTGCTGTTTATTAAAAATATTCAATAAATCAAAGGGCATGGTGTTGTTCTTTAAAGGTTTTACCTTGACAGCTTTGGTGGCCATAGTTGCAGCAGTCTGCAGCATGCCGTCAGCGATGCCCAGCATGTCTGTGTTCTGCAGGAACGGTGTAACAAGGGTGACATATTTGGCTCCGCTCCACGGCTTCAGCAGATTCAGCGCCCAGCGCTCCGTGTCCCCGCCGACGTTATCCAGGATCAGGTCGAATCTACGAGGGAAGAGGGGTATTATGGGTAAAAAATAGATACACAGGCAAAAGAAGCTGACAGAATGTTTTGGGGGGTCATTGAGCAAGAGTAAGAAAATGGAAGTTACAATTACTGGTAGGGAGGAGAAGGGACAAACTGGAAGATGACAAGAAGAGGGGAGATGCACTAATAAGCTGCAACAGGGGAGACTATGTTGCCTTGGTAACAAGTGGTTGTGTGTGCGTGTAAGGTGGGGTATCTCACTTCTCTAGAGCTCTGAGCGGCTCCTCCACAGGTCCAGCAGTGTAATCCACCACATGGTCCGCCCCTAGGCCCCGAACGAACCGCTCGGCATTCTGGGAGCAGGTAACAGTTAAATGGGCTCCCCAGGCCTTCAGCATCTGTACACAAAGCATCGTTCCAATAATTGCTTTATTGATGTATTCATTGATATCATGTCAGTCATATGCAAGATCAGGTTTGGATTATTTAAGGGAGAAGAATGTAAGCCAAATGTTTGAGACGCACAGACGGTGAATGATTGATGAGTGTTACGTGTGTGTAATGTGAGCTACAGTATTCAGGTCAGGAGGAGAGGCCTGTGGACGAGTCTGAAACCCGACAGGCCAAACAGACGTTCACAACACCACTGTTTATTTCATGATCAGCGCTCGTGTTTATTATTACACTGCTGGCACAGCGTGTGGGGGAATAGTAGGCCCGCAAGATGTGGAAAAAAAAAAAAAAGTAAGAAATGTGTGATAACGTTGATCGATATTGCCATAACCATATAGGCAAAGCAAGGTTATTGATATAACACATTTCAGCACCAAAGGCAATTCAAAGGGCTTCACACACGATATCAAAAGCATATATATATATATATATATATATATATATATACACAGTGTGATAATTAAACAGCTATTAATGAGCTCATATTAGCTATAAGTAACAGTTTTTATGTCTGTGTGCTGTTCTTCATGTATAACACAATACCTGTCATTGCTGCTGAATCCCCTCCTGAATCCAAATTCTATTTAAAGAGGACATATTATCCCCCTTCTCCACCTTTTCAAACAGTCCCCTGTGGTCTAAATGAAACATCTGTGCTGTGCTTTGGTCAAAACATAACATGAATCAAGCACCAGAGGAGGTTTGTGCCCTGTATAAACCAGCTCTCTCAGAACGCTCGTTTTGGTGTGTGTGTGTCTTTAAATGTCATGAGCTCCTCCCCCCCTTAGTTTTCCTGGTAGACATCACTCCTCTGTAGCGAGAATAAAAATGGCGGACCTGTGCAAAAGTTTCTCTCTAGGCTGGGGGTGGAGTCTATGGGTGGAGATATCAGGGGAGGGGATTTTTTTTTTTACCAGAATCCCACTGTGACATCACAAGGAGAGCACATTTGAAACGGAGCATTTTTCTCTGTGTTGTAAGACTTATGCAGACCACAAACAAAGGACTGGATGGGTTTATTTCACATTTTGTTTGTCAGTAGACACTCAGGTTACCCAAATATATGTTCAAAAACACTAAAAGTGGATTTTTCATAATATGTCCCCTTTAAGTCTTTATGTATTACACCATTTTATTGCTGCCTTTTCCCCTCCCAAATCCAAATTCTATTTCTGTTTACCTGAGGGTAGCAGATAGCTTACTTTAGCTTCATCTGATTGTATCTAAATGGTGCGAGCACGGCCATTATCAGGTGAGGTGTAAGCATGCTGCTGAAGAAAGCATTGCTCATTTACTTAAAATAACAGTTTCTATCTGCTGTGATACATTCAGACTTTGCAATGTGCTTATTGCAAATACTGATATTCTGATACTGATAAAACTGCAGTTTATTGTTGAGGCCTTGTGAAAATATTAATATATTTTATATTTAGAACAGGTTGTTACATGATGACATCCGTACCTGTATAGCAAATGTTCCCACTCCCCCGGATCCTCCGAGGATCAGAATCCTGCAGGCGAGGAGAAAAAGACAGATGTAAAAAAATGTGTCGACAATGTTCTCCTCACTATTGTTGCACAGATTCTCCCTCATTAGGATTCATGTCAGCTGAACTTCGGGGCTTTAAGGCTCCAACTTCACAGGGAGGCTGCCAGAGGAGCAGAGCACCCTGAGGCTCATTATGGAGCTGTGAGGCTAACGGGGGGCTAAGCTTGGATGGAGGGAAATAATTGGCCACTTCAAAGAGCGGCAGCTTCTTACAGGAGGCGGACATGGAGTGTGTTACAATGTCTGTCCGTGTGTCCCTCACCGTTTCTTGGCACAGTTGTCCTTGCTGAGCCCGCCGGTGTTAACGAGTGCGGACCAGGCGGTGGTGGCCACGTAGGGGATGGAGGCTGCCTCGGTATGGCTCAGAGACTGTGGTTTGAGGGACACCTGAACACAACACACATTTAGAATGAATACAGTTGAATACAGCACTTCCTTGAGTTGAGAGATAGTAAACATGCTCTGAGTACGAGCATTGTGGTGCCTGATTTAGTAGATTATCAAATCCTGCACTTGTTTTTATTTGCATTATTTCAGGATAAGCAGTAAGACTTTTCATTTGCAGACAAAGTCATGAATATGTCACATTAAAAAAAAAACTCCATCAGAAAGATGATTGAGTACATGTTTCTTGTTTTTTTTAAGCCACTACTAGGCTTTCAAAAAAATGCAAAACACCAAAATGAATCCCTCATAGGTTTTACATTTTCTGATATGCTGAGGTTTAAATTTATAAAGTGCGGGGAGCCGGTGGCCAAGAGGTTAGTTTGTGCGCCCCATGTACGGAGGCTTTTGACCTCGAAGCAGGCGGCTCAGGTTCTAATCCGACCTCTCCCCGCATGTCATTCCCCGCTCTCTTTCTCCCCGATTTACGACTCTATTCACTGTCTTGTTTCTCCAATAAGGACATAATGAGCCCAAATGCATCCTTGCAAAAGACCTGCAAGGCCCTAAAACTCAATGAATAAATGTGATGAATCATATAAGCATCAGCGTGAAACAATCATTCAGACCATCAGAGGAACAATACCTCGTTAGCACTCAGCACCACAAACTCCGACAGGCTGCCCTGCTTCCACGGTGGAATAGCAGCCCACACCTAAAGGGAGACACACAGAGAGACACTTACAAACAAACAGAAAGAACATCCTGGTCTCGTGGTCAAGAGTTGTACCCTCATATACACAGTAAAGTGTCAAATCCCCTCTGAAAGTATCACGTTTGATTTTCAACGGTTTGTTTTAAGAGTTGCTTATGTAAGTCAACTATTTTTTGGTGCTGAATTTAAGGTTCAAGGTTTCTTTATTCATCTCCCTAGTGAGAAATTTGTCTAGGATGCTGGGAAATTGCTGCATGGACAACACATCAAAAACAACATAAAAACAGTAATTACAAATGTGCAAAAAACACTGAGCCCATCCGTGCTACAGTTCACCCAAGCGTCTGCCCACGTATCCACACACACGCACGCACGCACGCACGCACGCACGCACGCACGCACGCACGCACGCACGCACGCACGCACGCACGCACTCTGTGCACATGCCACTCCCGACGGTTTCATACATACATACATGTCTACAGTTATCGGTACATTGGGGGCCTCCTGGTTTTCTGTTCCTCCTCTATTTTTTGCTCATTAATGAGCTTAGCTGAAAAAGGGACTAGTGAGTTTTTGAAGCAGTTGTGTTTGCACAGAGGAACCCTGTACTTTCTCCCTGAGTTCAGCAAAACATATTTGGAGTGCAATACATGGGAAATGTCTGATAAAATGCCCTTGGCCTGTGTGATTGTGGCCTGCTCAAAAAGATCCTGGGGGTAAGAGGGGCACACATTCACATGATCTTGCCTGCTGTCTTAACCAGGCTGAGGATCTGAGCTTTAGATTTTACTGTTAAAACACCAAACCAGCTGGTGATGCCATACCGTAAAATGGACTCTATTGTTGCTCTGTAAAAAATGAACATAATGTTTTTACATACACCAAACACTCTTAGTTTCCTGAGAAAATGGAGGCGCTGATGGATTTTAACTTCTTAAAATCCCCACTCAAAAAAGAAAAACAGACTAATTTCAAGGCGATTTGTACTCTCAACTAAACAAAGCCTATAAATTTCAGCTCTGCTCAGAACAGGCCGTTTCTGTGTCTGTAGCTTTAAATGTAAATGTCCTATGAATGGGCGCCATACAATTAAAGATCGACTGATTGGTTTGATGCCTCATGGGATGTGCCGATGTAACTTTGAGGTCATTTTGGGCTAAGACGTTAAAAGGCCCCGAGTCATGCCATGTTTCTAAATCAGGCCAGGATGATGGTGCATAATCCTGGAGGAACGGATCCGTGTGACAGATTGGACAAAGAGGCCAGAAGTGTACGAGCTGATCCCATGAGCTCAGACACGCTGTGGTGATAACGCTCGACTGGCAATGCAGAGCCTGATGTCAGCCAAGAACAGTCCTGTATTACTACACCTGAAAATACAGGTGATTCAACCAGCGACATGCTCAGAGTGATACTGCAGAACACTGACTCTGCTCTGAGCCTTCCTGTTCATCACCACAATTTACGTGATGTTTCTGAATGGTTCTCCTCTCTCTTTAACATGTTGTGTGGTTTCCGCAGCTTCAGGTTTTTGTTTACTTCACACCTGACGATAAACTTCACCCTCATACTTTATTCATGCATGACTCAGTGTGTGTGCAGGAACAAGTTGTTTCTATAAACAAGGGGAGGTTCTCTGCAGGTTGTATTCGCCTGTTACATGTGATATTCCAGAAACATATTCATCCACTGGGGTACCACAAACAAATGTGTTTTTCATAATTCTATCAATTCTCAGAAAAACTGTTGATTTTTATTTAATGAATACTTTAACTAGTGCAGATTTTAAGTGCTTTGCTCAGACTTCATAAAGAGAAGTGCTGACATTGCATTTTATTTTTGAAAACACTAAGCAGAAATCAGAAATTAGTTTGTCATTGCTTCCAATATCTCTATATACTGAATGATAGCTCCTGTATCATATGTGTGTCACACCTCTGGATTCTTACTAAATCCAAGGCCTAACTGATACACACCACTTTATTATGGACCAGTATAATAAATACCTTTTTTTTTTTTTTTTTTTTATATTCTTACCTCATCCCTTTCTCTGAAGTACTTCACATCCAGGCCACACTCCATGATGACCCCAGAAACGTCCCGACCCAGGATGAGAGGAAACTCACTGCCGGACTGTTTGATGTTCAGAGGGTCTCTCTTCATAGTCAGTGTCGCAGCGCCATAACCACCTGACAGGGGGAGATAAACTCTCTGATTATATCCACGTTTAGAGCGTCAGAACAGTTCAACATGACAGAATAATAAAGGTCATTAGAGAACACTGAATGCCTTTAATGTATTTACCAGGAAAATGTATGACTTTACCATCGGCCTCAGCTTTACTTTGTTAGTGCTGAGAAAATGTAAGCAGGCTGAGACGCTAAACTAAGGGGGAAAGGTTTAATGAATGTTATATCTCTGTAGTATGTGTGTGTGTGTGTGTGTGTGTGTGTGTGTGTGTGTGTGTGTGTGTGTGTGTGTGTGTGTGTGTGGGGTTTGATTGTATTTATTTTGAATACCAAACACTTTGACATGATCCATGACCTGCTCCTCTCAAAATAAAACTGCATTTTCTTCACTGTTGCTTCACTGGAATATTAGAGCTTCACTGTGCATGATGTGTGTGTGTGCACTGTGTTACACTGCAGCGTATAGAAGACCAAATTAGATGAGAGAGACTGTGCTGTATCAGTGTTAATCCTTAATATTTTTTTAACTTGCATCTCACGCAAAGCACCAAATAACCGACTTCAAATACAGCGACCCCCTTCAGTATGCAAGAAGTTCATTCCAGGTTATGAAACTCACATTTCCATTTAGCAAACTCAAAACTACCACTGCATTTGCCCCTCACTCACCCACTTCCTGTGACTATAACACTACAATATCATGAACTGTCTGTGTGCGAGAAGAATGAGGGCAGCATGATTTATTTCAGGACACAGAGACCTGCTGAAAACATCATCTCACTGACACTCTGACTCCTTTAAGTATTTATTTTACTCGCTTTGGGAAAACAAAACATTCTTTAAAAGTTTGGACTGAGTGTAGAATTTAACATTAAAACCCCCCCCACTGAAAACAGCACAAAGATAATATATCAAATGTTGAAACTGAGAAGTGTCTTGGTTTTTGAAAGATTGTATCCATTCAGAATTTGAAATTGAAATGTTCTATTAAATATCAAGATGTAATATTCTGCAAATCATCAGATTCTGCTTTTATTTACACATTTTATTTTACACAACATCCCATCTTTTAAGGAAACTGGGTTGTATATATTTCATGATTGCAAAAACATTTCCCAGACACCAAAAACTTGTCACTGAACGCAAATACATTTCATGTAATGCAAATAGGTTTTAAAAAATTGTAAGAGAAATATTCAGTGAAACATAACGCAAATAATTCGAAATGCAAACATGCAAAACATTCACCTTCTGTGTAAAATATTTAACATGCAAAAAGTCTGTTAAAGATATTTCATACTCTCCAAAAGCTATTTCACCTGTGAAAAATATTTAAACTTCTGCAGCAGAATGTTATTTTGCAGTCAGTGAAATGTTTTTGGATTTTTCAGAAAATAGTGTTTCGTGTATAACGAAATATTTTTGCATTTACTTAAGTGATGTTGGCAAATGTGTTTTACAATCGTGACACATTTGTACAGCTGACCTTCATGTATAATGTAGAGATGTAAGTTTAAAGAAGACTCACCTCTCATGCTGACGTCCAGTGGGTTCAGTCCTGCTGCAGACACTTTGACTATGACCTCATTGGGGTAGTTGATTATGGGGAAGCTGGCATTTTTAGTGAATCTTAGCACATCATTGCCTCCATATTTATCTATAACCCAGGCAGGCATGACAGTCCTGCAGGTTTCTGTAGAGCTAAACAGTCTTTTTTGGCTGCCTCTCCAGGGCACCGATGTTTTCACTTTACTGAGGTGAAACAAACACCTACTGTACATGAAGTGACCAACACAACTCATCTTACAACTCCTGAGTGCTTCAATAAAGTCAAAAGGATCAGCTGTATTTCAGCAGAGATAAACAGTCCCTGTTACACGCGAACCAGAAACATAAGAGCGAAATTATTCACTTATTTTAATTATTTAAAAGCCAGAACAACCTCTAATTGGAGACATGTCCTTCTTATACAACCACGTCTAAGCATTTATATAATTAACCGCAATATTTCCCGAATTGAGGACATTTTTGAATCCCTGTCCTCTTCCTTCGCATGCCACTTCCTGGACCGGCGCCTTCTTGGGGAACGTTCCGCCTCTCCACCAATCAGCGGGCACCTTCTACGACCACTGTCCAATCACAGAAGCTGCTGTTAGACTCCCGATGACCGAAACAAACATGGCAGCCTGCTTGTGCTGCACACTTTACGAAGGTTGTTTTCATTTTTAAAAGGTTTTGACAGAATTTCTACAAACATGCTCGGCCTGACAATAAGAGAGGTTAGTGCGGATGTTCACCTGTTCTACGAGCCTTTGTTTGACTGTGTTTGTGCTGCATTTAGTTCACATTTTCTGCTGAAAGTTCACAACAGAAGTGAAATATATTAGTGTCTGTGCTACTTCTGCTTGTCTGAGATATTGTCAAGAGCGTTTTGAAGACTGTATTATATATTCTGGACACAGTCATGGAAGTTAAACTGCATAAATGTGCATAAAAAACAAAAAAACTAGAGAGGAAAAAAACCTGCTCAACATTTTGGCTTTAAAGTCTCCAGAGAAATACATTTGTGTTCAGTTAACAGTCTCTATAATGAACAACACTTATGTTCCTTTAACTGATGGGTTTGTCTTTTCATTTTGCAGTATTGACACTATAATTGTAAAACGATGTTAAAATGACTATAATAGTGAAAAACAAGCAAAAGATCAAACTAAATTCAGACGTACTTTAATATGATGATGATTATTGATGATGATTCATTTATTTTGGTGTCATGCACACAAAGTGCCCAACCCTCATGGGCTTATAAGACACCAAAGAATTCAGTTGCAGTGGTTCACATTTAAAAATCATAACATTACAAAGTTGCCGGCTCCTGTCACAGTTCAGTCTTAAACAGCGTGTTGTGTCTTTTTTCCCCAGGCTTTACAAACAAAATCTGCTGTAACAAAGGTTCCTTTTTTAAAACACAACTCAAGTTTTTCATAATCCTCTAGCCAAAAGAAATCAACATAAACTGAATACTGGTCCATAATAAAGTGGTGTGTATCATTGAAGACATTCTTTTCAAAAGAACATCCTTGGTGTCAGCGTACATCGGGCAGTAAAACAAAAAGTGAATCTCCTTTTCAGTTTCTCCTAACTCACAACAAACAAACTCGATCTTCCTCTGGAAGGGAATTAAACCTGCCTAAAGGCAATGTTCCTGAACGTAGCTGAGCGCAGAGGGATCTTTGTCTTTTGGTTAAATTAAATTTAGCATAGGCTTCTACGCTGTAGCAATCCTTTATGAGACAGTATGTTCTTAGTTTTGGTTTGCACCAAATATCTACAGACCATTTCTCTTTGTACATTAGAAACATATTATTTTATGATATGATGCATATCCATATAATGGAATAGAAAAGGGAAGCTGTAAAACCTAAAATTGACCTTAAATATAGTAAAGAAAGCTGAGTCTGAGTTTGATACTGAAAATAACTTTACTGTATTTTATTGTGAGCGATAAAATACAGTAAAGTTATTTTCAGTGTGCAGAGGAGTTTTGATTCATTTTTCATGGCATGTTCATCTGAGAACGTAGAGGCTGGGTACCCTGTTGGCCGTATAGTAAAGAAAGTCTTTCTTTAATTGAAGTGACATTGTGATATCTTTTATTTCTCTGTTTATTTCGATGTGAAAAATACAGGAAGTTATTCCAAACAAAAGCTGTGAGTTTGTGTATGCTTGAATACGGCCATTTGACATTTGAATCTTACAACCGTAATTTACTTATTTTGAACTTTAATCTATTTCATGCTTCATAATGATATGAAGTTTGATAAATAAATAAAGCTGTTTGCACCATCCTTCTTGTCAATCCAGAGTAAATTAAGCTTCTTTTTTTACCATTACATTTTAAGCATTTACTCTGAGGTATAGCTGATAGTTGGCTTGAGTTTCATCTGACAGCATGAGGATTGTGAGGGCATAAAATGTAAACATGCTGAATGAGAAAGCAGTGTGTGTTTACATCAAATTATTTTCTTATTTATTGCGATAGACTCAGATTTTTGTAATGTGTGTATGGTGAAAGCTCATATTGGGATAATTATAAAACTGTGATTTATTGTGCAGCCCCATAAGGCATGTGTAAGTAATGAGCTTGATATGAACAGATTCCCCTTTACTATTTCAGTTTGTTTGGATCCTGACTCACTGTCATACTCGCACAAACACTGCCGTTGTTTATATTAACCCACAGCTGTTTCCTCATTGTTTATTAAAGGTGTCTTTGGCGCTCAGGGAGGGAAGAGTCTCCCCAACAGAGCTCTGTAGGAAGTGTCTGAACCGCATCAAGAAAACACAACATCTTAATGCTTACATCACTGTGACTGAGGAGTTGGCACTGAAGCAGGCTCAAGAAGCGGAAACGAGACTCCTCCAAGGTGTGTTCAAGTGAGTGTTTTTTTTTAAAGGTCATCTTTGTAGAGGCACATGTGTTACCGTTTAATCTCGTCTTCCTGCAGGTAAGCCCAAAGGTCCTCTGGATGGAATCCCATTTGCAGCAAAGGACAACTTCTGCACAGAAAACATCAGGACGACGTGTGCGTCCAGGATGCTGAAAGGTTTGTGTGAACCTCAGTGAAAGTTCTTCCATCGTAGTTTTCTCTCTGTGCCAAGACATTGAAAACCTGCTGTTGCTTTCTCTACAGACTACACTCCGCCCTACAATGCCACCATGGTCCAGAAGCTCTTTGATCAAGGGGCTGTTCTCGTTGGGAAGACCAACATGGATGAGTTTGCTATGGGGTAGATCCATTCTAACAATGTCAGAATAGAGTTTAGTCTGAATTAGATTGATTAATATCTTGATGAAGCTTTTACACGTGTGTACAGTTACAGAGAGAAATGTGGAATCCACTTTTAATATGACTGATTGTAATTTTCTGATTTCTTAATTCTTTTTCTATTCTTCTCAGTGCGGGCAGTACTGACGGCGCTTTTGGTCCAGTGAGAAACCCCTGGAGCTACGCCGCTCCCTTCAGAGAGCAGACCGGGGCACAGCCGGACTCCGATTGGGTCGTCACTGGAGGAAGTTCTGGAGGAAGTGCTGCAGCTGTAGCCTCACTCACCAGCTACCTGTAAGGGTCCTACTTCATCTTCAAAGAAAAAAAACAAAAGAAAAAGTTTGATCTCAAAATTCATATTGACCGGCTCCTCGGTGATCACTTGGCAGGGCTGTGGGTTCAGACACGGGCGGTTCTACTCGTAACCCTGGAGCGCTGTGTGGCGTTGTAGCTCTGAAGCCCACCTACGGCCTGCTGTCCAGACACGGTCTCATCCCCCTGGTCAACTCCATGGACGTCCCAGGCATCATGACCCGCAGTGTCAGCGATGCAGCCACTGTCTTAGGTAGGAGACCAATCATGAACTGATGTAACACTGTTGTAGGCATGTTGTCCTTCAGTAAGGAATATGGCCATCATTTTCCAGCTTCCTCCTTCAAATAAAGAGCTGTAAATTCAATCACACATGGTGAAGTAATATCAGAATCAGAATCAGAAATACTTTATTAATCCCAGAGGGAAATTTGGTCATTACAGTTGCTCCAAAATATACAATATAGCTGTAGAAATATAGTAATAAAAACATTAATCAAATAGAATAGGAATGTAAGTAAGATTTCAATAATAGGTACAAGAAATATTTACACAAATAACAGTCAGATGGAATATGTACACACATTTTCAAGATTATTGCACTGTTTGTTTCAATATTGCACTTTGTTATTATGGACATAATATTGATTATTATTATTATTATTATTATTATTATTATTATTATTATTATTATTATTATTATTATTATTATAATAATAATAATAATAATAATAATAATAATAATAATAATAATAATAATGAAATTGTTTTGATGCACATCAGTCCTTTATCTTCAGTAAAAACGTGCAGGAACTTATTCATTAAACTACTTCTGTAACTAATACTTGACACCATTTCTCTTAACTGGCACACAAGTCTTTATTTATCCAGACCCGTGGTTTTACCTCCAATAATGGAGCTAACCCGCGCTTTTTGTTGGCATGTCACACAGGTATCCTCCAAGGCCTTGATATCAGAGACTCAACAACAATTCCTGCAGCGTCAACAATAACAGAACTACCTGAAGACTTTGATGTCAAGAACATCTGTGTGGGCATCCCTAAGGTGAGTTAAGACCTCTAACTCCTCTCCAGTATCTCCACCTCACTGGCACAAGTACTTCAAAAGTCACTTAAATCATCAAAGATCTAAGTATTTCAAGGGCATTTTCAAACCACTTTAAAAAGTACATGTCTAATTAGAGGCAGTGTTACTAAATAATCTTCCTTGTGGACTTCATTACATGCACATGAAGATGGCTCTGAATCCTAACTCTTGAAAACCTCACAGTGAATTGGAAAACATTGATTTGTGTGTCCTTTTATAAAAATGTCTGTCAGGAGTACCACGCCCCGGGGCTGTCTGAGGAGACTCTGACACAGTGGAGTCGTGTCGCTGACATGTTTGAGCGGGCGGGGGCTCGAGTGGAGCAGGTGTCCCTCCCCCACACCCAGTACTCCATCGTGTGCTACCACGTCCTATGCCACGCTGAGGTGGCATCCAACATGGCCCGCTTTGATGGCCTAGAATTCGGTATGAACCAGTTTTCTCTTCCCCCTTAAAGGGAAAGTCCAGTATTCAAGTATTCTACTTTGTTTCATACTTAGGACATATTTCAATATATTTGTCTTATTGACTCAAAGGCTCGATACATTTCTTCAGCCTGTGCTTTGACTCTAAACACATTATCACAGAGACTATTGAGGTGTCTCAGTTCAGGGGTAGCATCCTTTGTAGGCTGTGTAGACCCCTCAGACTGATCTGAAATGAGACGGTCTTATCTAAGGACGGTTCCCCGTTTGTGTCACCAGCTGTCCCCGCCCTCACCTTTTTAGTTTCTAAGTGCTTCCCCTGTCGCCTAGCAACCTCAACAGCTGCACAGGAACTATCTAATGCTGCCGACATCAAGCAACATATCCTATTATTATAATGATG